TGCAATGCCTTGGGCTTCGTAGGTATATGGCCTACTGCGTACGGAGTACTAACAACTGAAACAGCGCCCGGAGTCACAGCCCGTTATAACTTACTTCCTTACGTCAGAGGGGCGGGGGTTTTCCACCACGTGGCTGATGTACAACTGCACTCCCCGCAAGGGAGCAAATGCGTAGTTGGCCTTGTGACTCCCGCCCTTTGAATCGCAGAGCCAGTGGCAGCCGACCGAAGCTCGCCGTGGTTCGCCGAGTCATGGGCTTCAGCCAGCTCCGGAGCTCGAATGCTGCCTCCGACGCTTCCCAATCAACCAAAGTCCAAGCCTGAAGACTAGCCTCACGTCTATCCTGCGCGACCGAGCCTGCAAGCCGCATCATGGCCAGATCCACCGCGCCTTTGGGCACTGCCTGCGCAGGAACGAAGCTCCGCCGTGGCCCGGGCTGTGTGACGCGAGCGTACAGCATCAGTGACCAGGAGGCCGTGGCTGCAGTGGACTGGGTGCGCTCTTGGATTTGTGCCGAACGGCATGTTTGCCGAATAGGTGTGTGCAGCCGAGTCCGTCGCTTGGCCGCGGATCGCCTTCCCTACAGTACTGTCTATGCATTCTCACGTCGGTCGGCGGATCGCGCGCGAAATTGGGTTGTCAGCAAAGTCCGTGTAACAAGTGTACGTGGCCGGGTACGGGCACAGTACATACAAGGAATGCAGCACGCAAGACGTCGGCGGAAGGATGCAGATCTGACGGCGGGTAACCCCGGCCGAGTACTACGTCTACAAACGTGCCGGCCGTGGCACACGATTGCCAGCACGGAACCCTATCCAGACCGGACGGCTCCTTGGCCCCTATCGGATCTCATGGACAGCCACGTTGCGAGCTGCGACGCCACGCGCACACACCTTGCCAGGTCGATGGCACGCAGCCAAGCTTGGCGAACTCGGTGGAATGGGAAGCGTGCGTGGCCGTCGACGACTCACGGTGCCAGAGTCCACTGAGCGAGCCGGGCAGCGTGTAGGCAATTTATTCGCGGCCTGGACGGGCCCGGAACTGGACCCTGTCATCACCGTTGTGCCAAGAAGCGCTGCTCGCGCCGAGACGACCGCTGGGTCGGTTTGTACGGACGGCTTGGCCCGGACAACGGCACCAGACAGACGAGTTGGATACATTCCGCGTGCATGTGTACATGCGTGCCTTGCTTCCTAGGTTCCTTGGCTTTCGGCCAGGGCCCGATGCCGTGGCCCATCTCGTCCATGGAAATCTGCCCGTCAGGCTATCTAGTTGCACAACCGACGTCCGCCTCACTGCAACATTCACCGCCTCGCCTCGCCCGTCTGCAGCCCGACCGCTGTCTTGCTGGCTGTCCTGGCCAACGTCACGGCGGTGGCTCCCGATGTTTGGACAGGACAAAGACATTTCGGCGGCCCTGGTTGGGCTCAGATTGCTGTATCGTACATACGGGAGCGGCCGGGGCAATCCTGGAATACCGCATCCGGTGGAAGTGGAGGGGTGTGGACAACAAGGCCAGGACGAGGCCAGACAAGGCACCCCCCCCTTGACTGACTTGCTGTGCAGTATATTGCGAAGCAGTCAAGGCATGGCACCCGTGTTTCGTCACCTGCGCCGTTGGCGAAAAAGCAACCGGGCGAGCGAAGACGCAAAAGCACAACAGCCCAAAGAGACGTGAGCGAGGAAGCCCACACGGATCACTCGACCTTTGGCCAAGGGCGCGGCCGTGGCTGCGTTGCATGGCTTGTCCGTTGCATCATGACCCAACGGACCGTCAGGGGGGGCGCGGGGCGTACAGACTTGGGGTAGATACAGTACACGGTCAAGGCGCATCGCACATGGGCTTTCGTCATGAGTCGGCGGTTCATGGCGAAGCGGTAAGATATGCGAGTCAAGGTGGACGAGTCGGCATGCACAACGGACAAGGGCAACGGAAGTGCAGAAGCCAGCCCGTCACCCGTCGTGGCCAGCGGGGCCGTGCATGTGCTGCTGAGTCCCGACGACAGTCACTACTCACTACGGGGTGTGCGCCTGAAAATATTGGCGCTGAAGAAGACGAAGAAGAATAAGCAGTGACCGGGGGCCCGGCGAGGAAAAAGCAACAGGCAAGCTGTCAGCAAAGGTGAGCTTTTTGCATGTTTGGCGGGCCGGTACGGGGGGGGAACTTGGGCCGGAAGTAGCGGCAGGGCCTGGCGGTGGGGTCAAGGCACATGGGCCACGGGAGGCTGCCGTACCGTGCTCGTACCGCCTGTGCTCGGCAAGGCAGGATGGTATCGGCTGTCCGGGCCCCCGGTAGAGCAAGCCCCCAAAGGGATACATGCAGCATCAGCCTGGTCCCGCACACCGGATGCCCCCCACCCCTTTTCCCGATTGCTAAATTGCGTCGGACGGTACATGGCTTTGTTGCGGGCGGTCGAGATGCGAGATGGGCCGAAGTTCAAGACCGACAATCGAGGCGGCGGCCAGGGAGGTCCGGACGCCCACACAAGTACCTGTCACACAGGTAGGTACTGTACCTAGCGGAGGGCGGAGGGACAGTTGCAGATACAGGGCAGCGAGCCATGCAGCCCGCCTGCCTACCTACCTCATACCCAGCGGTAACTGCATCTTTTGCTCAAAGTGCCGTTTTTTCCTTTGCCCGCTTGCACATTGATTCATCAGCAAGTCTCACCCTGCGAGGCAATGGAGGAGGCAACTTGGCAACGTGTGCTCGTACATGTGCGTACCGGGCTGCCTTGTATTGCTTTTCAGACACGACCGCATCTCGCTTCTGCCGATTTCTCGTGCCTCGTCAGGGGACAACAGCTGACAGATGGGTTGACCGGAGGTAAGGTAATGGCAGGTATCGTACCTCGGACATGCTGGACTTGGCATACCTGGTGCGCGAGGTACCGGCCTTGTTGTACATACATGATGGTTGACAAGTTGCATGCGTCTACCGAGGGCAAGGCAACGTGATGGATACCTGCCTTGGGTAGGCTGCGGGTTCATGCCTACAAGAATGGCTGGCAAGGTACCTAGCTGGGCATCTATTACGCGTATCTACAGTACATCTAGACATGGTGCTGTGGTAATGTAAGGCACAGGGGGACTGAGGCGGCTGGTACTTGGTGGGTACGCGCGGCTTTGCGGCTTTGGGACGAGTCCCCTTTCGCTGCTTGCCTTGGTGATACATGGGTACTCCGTACATGGGAGGCGGATACTTGGAATAGAACCGGGGCAAGACAGCCCTGTCACCGCCGCCGCCTTTCCTCGTCCACTGGCAACGACGATGACGATGACGGCGCAGAAGCAAGCGAGCTGGAGGCACCTTTGCGGTACAGTGCCGAGTCCCTTTGCCAGCTCACCTCGCCCCCCCTTGTTGTGTGTTTGTGTTTGCGTGTGTTTGCGTGTGATTCCCACCCCCGTTGGTTTCTTCTTCTCTTCTTCTTCTTCTTCCTTTCTTTTTTCTGCTGTTGCCGCCCACCTCTCTTATGTATGTACTCCGTACATGCCCACTGCGACGCTCTTTGCCTTCCTTGCCTTGGCTTGGCTGCCAACTCCGTACTGTACCCCGTGCGTACATGCCTGCATTCAACTGGGCCTTTTCTGACGAGAGAGCCTTGCTGCCGGCAAGGATACCCTGCCCCATCGGCTCAATGACAAGGGGCGTACCAAGAAAGTATACCTGCTGGATATATGCGTGCTTTGCGCACAGGCACTTGTGCTCGACAGTCTGGATTGACCGGCTAGTAAGATGTTGCTCACTTGGCAGGTAGGTAGTCTGTAACTACCAGTAGGTGAGAGTTGGGGAAAGTCAAGATGAGACAGGCCGGCAGCAATCTGTAGTGCCCTATGTGCTTGTGCGTGTGTCTAGAGTCTAGGGATGTATGTATGTGCAGTATTATGGCTGGGTTTATTATCCACACGCCCCTCCCCCGGACGTTGTGGCTACTGCAAAGGCAAAGAGAAGCACTCCCAGCTCCAACTGTTCCTTGCACGGTACTTGGCCGCTACCTCAGCACCACCTCACCCGGCCTGACCTGTTTTCCTTCTCAACCCTTTCTTTTTTATTCTTTTTTAGTTTTTCTGCTCGGCGCAAGGCTCATGGGCCCCACGCACGGCCCAATGTCGTGCCCCCCGGTCCTGGGGGCTGGTGTGAGCCAACTTCGCCGCATCCATCGTCGTGCTTGCCTTCCGCTTGGATGTAATAGGGGAAATCCGAGGGCCCTTTTCTCATGTCACCGCCCGTTCTAATCTGGTGCCGGCCTTGGCCCAACGGGTACCGAGATTCATGTAGCAACCCCGGACGTGGAGGGGCCGCGACGGAAGCCAAGCAACCAAGTCAAGTACCTTTGCTTCTTGCTCCTTCTTCTCCTTCTGCCTCTCCTTGTTTCCTTCCCTCTGTCGCTACTGGCTCGCGCCTGCTTTCCCTCTCGCTACTTCCCTTGCCGCCTGCCTCCATACGTGTGTTTGTATACCGATGAGTTGTACCTGTACGCCTGCCAATGTGCTCGAGGTACCTGTTCCGCCAACATCCAACTCCGTGCTTTCCCCCTTCTTCCTTCTTATATGCCTCGACACTCCCGCTCTTCATCTCCAGCTCTCCTCGTCCCTTTTTTCTGCCGAGCCTTCCAAACGCTTTAAGAAACTTGCTTCCTTCATGGCCACACTTGGCGTCTTCCCTTTCACCTGACTCGTCTGTCTCCAACACCTCGTCGAACAGCTACCCCTTCGCCCGTCAAGGCCACCTGCCCAAGCGCTCAAGGTCCTGTTTGTGTGCTGTAGTTGGCCAGGTCGCTCCTGTTCCCGCGATACCAACCTGGTGTGGCCCGTCTTGCCTCTCCGCTCCATCTCCTCTGCCGTAAGGCAAGCCAGCCCGGACCACGCCTCGCCGGCAACGTGCCTTGTCGCGCGCGAGCTTGCTGGAAGCCCACGCTCGCGCCAGCCGGACCAGGTGACGCACAGTTGGCTCGCCCCAGGCCGAGACTTGGGCTGTTGACGACAGCATGAGAAGAGACATGTCGCCCGCTGCGGCTCGCCCCGGGACACGGGGAGGACAGAAGCCGCCGTTTCCGACCAAGCAGATGTTTGTTTTAGGTACGGACCCTCGCACCAATCGTCGTCCTCGGCCCCCCCCTTTGGGACGACGTTGTCAGCCAGCCCCGGTACTGACGCAGTCGTGCCACAGCATGCTGCAGGATATGCGAGCCCATCGCTTTCATGTCCATCTTCCCCTACATCTACTACATGATTGAGGACTTCCACATCACAGATGACGCCAGCCAAATCTCCGTCTATGCCGGCATGGTCACCTCGGCCTTCACCCTGGCTGAATTCGCTACCGGCGTCATGTGGGGGAGGTTGAGCGACAAGATCGGACGCAAGCCCGTGCTCCTGGCCGGACTACTCGGAACTGCCCTCAGCGTCCTGGTCTTTGGCTTCGCCCCGAGCTTGCCAATTGCGCTCTTTGCGCGTGCTCTCGGCGGTCTCCTCAACGGGTATGGCATCCATGGCTGATCCCCTTGTTGGTGCCGGCGTCGCTGACTTTGGGGGCTCAGAAACATTGGCGTCCTGCAGACCACGGTTGCCGAGTTGGTCACGGTGAGAGAGCAGCAGCGTGAGTGCCCCGGGAAATGCTGGCTCTTGTTCTTTTTTTGGTCCTCGGGAGACGGCCCGCTGACTAGTCGCAGCTCGGGCTTACACCATCATGCCCATGGTCTGGTGTATCGGGTGCGTTCTCCCAGCGGCTTAATGACTAGGTGCAAGCTCTCATTATGGCGTATAGATCCATCATCGGCCCCATGATTGGCGGAGCCCTGGCACGGCCCTGCATCAGCTACCCGGAATTGTTTCCTCGCGGCACCATCTGGGATCGATATCCCTACCTGCTACCCAATCTGTTCAGTGCCGCCACCGTCTTCATCGGTGTCGTCGTTGGCTTCCTGTTCCTCGAAGAGACGCACGCCGCGCAGAAGCTGCAGAGGGATCGGGGTCGGGAGCTCGGATCGCGTATCGCCGCCTTGTTTCGAAGAGCCACAGTCTGCAAGTGCCGCGGACGCTCCCTAGAGAAGCAGGGTCTGCTCACAGTCGACGTATCAAAGGGAGAATACGGCGCCCTGGATGGCTGTTCTCGAGCCAACGCCACGATGAGCGACGAAGACGAGCCGCTGCCCGCATATCGGAGTTGCGAAAACTCACCCAAGCTCGCACCTCAAGCCGGTCCGGGCCGGGCGGCAGCCGTTGCATCTCCGAGCCCGGGGCCTCAGTCCGGCCAGAAGAGCAGGATCTTCACCAAGCCCGTCATCCTGAACATTATTTCGTACGGCATCTTGGCCTTGTGCGTCTCTCCGAATCCGGCCCCCTCAGACTTGTCACTAACAAAGGACCAGCCACACAATGACCTTTGACCAGCTCTTTCCCGTTTTTCTGAGCACCTCTTCGCCCAAGGATCCGGTGGTCGAGCTGCCTTTCAAGTTTGTCGACGGGTTCGGCCTCGAGACCAAGACCATCGGCGTCATCATGTCGGTCCAGGGCGTCTACTCACTCTTGTCCAACTACGTCATCGTCCCGCCCGTGACGAGGCGGCTGGGCTCGCTCCGGCTCTTCCGAATGCTGGCCTTCTCGTACTTTGCCCTCTATCTCGTCACGCCGTACCTGGTGCTGATCCCGGAGAGATTGAGGATGCCGGCCGTCTATGCTCTGGTCATTTGGAAGTGCACGTACGCGACCATGGCGTACCCGAACAACGCGATTCTCCTGGCAAATTCGGCGCCGAACAAGCAGGTTCTCGGCACCATCAACGGAATCGCCGCGTCGACGGCAAGCCTGTGCCGGGCTCTCGGCCCTACCGTGTCGGGGATCCTGTACGCGGTGGGCTTGCGGACGGGATACTCTGGGCTGGCGTGGTGGTTCAGCGGGCTTGTCACCATTGCTGGCGCCTATCTGAGCTCCCAAATCACGGAGGGCGAGACCAAGCCTGCCGTTGCCGAGGACGAGGAAGCCTTGCTGGACGATCGGCTTCTGTACGACGAAGACGAGACCTCCTGACAGGCCCGGGTGGCGGGAAGTCGTTTGGCCCGCGCCAGACGTTTCTGTCCGAGATGTCGGTGTCCGCCTTATCCCCTCTTTTATATTTCCCCGTTTTTTCTCATCTTTTCCTATCGCTGTCGTTTGCGATTTAGTCAACGAATTTGTTGATGCCCAATACCCATTTTTTATTCGGCGGCAGCGACGGGAGACTGGCGTTGGCTGAGATTTTGCAAGATGACAGGACATGTCTGGGCGGCTTATAGACAAAATGTTTTAACTCGTGCGAGGACGAGAGACGGGTTGGGGTCTGGAAGCATGACAAATGGTGCATGCTGCGGTCCATTTGGTGTTCTGAGGATTCTTGGGGTCAGAAACTGGCCCCAGTTCTTGACTGGGAAGTAAAGCAATGGCAACATTGCGTGGGGCAACGGGCGTTGTGCACAGGCAGGGATGGACGGGCTCGGGCAATAGAGAGTACAAGGATACACGATCGTTGAAGCCCTCATGATTCTAGAAGGGGGGCATATCTGTTGCACATGGGCGCCCAAGAGTATAGAGGCTTGCGCACACGCGCAACGAGATGCAGGCTGGACCTGGGCCTGTGTGATGAGACAGAATAGAGGGTGTCTCGCTGGCAAAACAGGGCTCATTGATTTTCCTTGGCGTGTCTCGGCACGGGGGCGGATGAGCCGAGACTCGACGACGGCAGCATGTTTCACCCGATGTGCATGCGAATCCGTACCTAAGTTAACTGCAGAACCGGTACACCTACGGCGAGCCAGCAACCATGGTGTCGACCTCGGCCCCTGCCCACGGAGAGAGAGCGCGGCGGTGATGGGGGCGGGTAATCGATGCCGGTTAGGGAATGGCCACAGTGGCTTGCCTTGACGATGCGGGGGCGCCGACCTCTCTCTCCACTCTCTCCGCCCTTTTTTCCACATGGCCGCCGCCGTTGCGCTTGCGACCCATGCACCGGCCAAAGCAAGACGGACAGACAGCCTTTGTGGGCAGACGCACCACGACAAGCAGACAGGCAGCTCTCCCTCTGATCTCTCGGTGGCGCGCCTCTCCTTCATCGGTCCAGCATACCCGCCGGCGCCGGCCCCTTGTCCAAGTTGTACCGTCTCATCCTGCCCTCGTCGCCCGCCTGCCCACAAGAGAGGCTTCCCTCGTCTCGTCTCGTCTCACCGCTCGAGGACCAATGGTGCAGCCGAGGTTGACGTTTGCCGGTGGCCCATGCACTCACCCTGAACCTGGCCCACGGGAATCATTGCTTGGTCGCATGGCTCGGGAGAGAATGAATCGACTATAGCTTCAGAGCTCCAACTTGAGAGAGACAGAAAAGTGTGTGCCAAGCAAGCAGCAGAAGACTTTTTCCATCTGCGACCCCGCTGACACCAACCACGACTTTCGCTCGATCCAAGCCCATCCCATACAGCCTCGGCGCCGGGGGGAGCCCTTTGCATCATGCCCTCGCGAGGGCCTCCGTCTCCCGAAGCGCAACAACAGGGCATCAAGCGTCAACGCCACTCCGACTCGGACCGAGGCTCGCCTCGAAACGGCCTGGCCAGCCCGACGGCCGATGCGCCGCCAAAGCCCGGCCAGGGCAGCAACTTTCGCAACGTGAGCGCCTGCAACCGCTGTCGCCTGCGCAAGAACCGCTGCGACCAGCAGCTGCCCAGCTGCGCGAGCTGCGCAAAGGCCGGCGTCGCCTGCGTCGGCTACGACCCCATCACCAAGAAGGAAATCCCGAGGAGGTACGAGTCTCTGCGCCCTGCTGTCCCGCGCCCTGCTGTCCCGCGCCCTGTTGATCTTGTCCAGCTATGTCTTTTACCTCGAGACCCGCGTGGAGCAGCTCGAGAGGCTTCTCCTCTCCAACAACATCTCGTTCCCGCCCGCCAAGAATCTAGAGCCGTGCTCCCGGCCCTCTCCCGTCGGCGCCGCAACACCTCTTCCCGGCGCCAATGACGGCTTCCCCGACCAGTCACGGCCGGGGGATGGCGCTGACCGCGACGCAGCAAGGCCGCGCAACCGGGCATCCGAGTCGCTCAAGGCCAAGAAGACGGCACAAAGCTCGGCCATGCTTAGCATCGCCAGTCCCTCCCGACCGAGGTCCCTGGCCTCGGCCTCGGGCGTGTCGTTTGCCAGAGTCGTCTATGCCGCCGTCCAGTACTCCGTGTCTGATCAGGCCGGCACAGGCGAGCGATCCGGCCATCGCAATCCTGGCGGAAGCGGCACCTCGATGCGTGACTCCTTTTTCGGCCTGCATACCAAACCCACCATCCAGCCGGCCCCTTTCCCCGACAAGGACGTCGGGCTAAGGCTCGTCACTCTCTACTTCGAACACGCCAACCCCCAGATCCCTATCCTCCATCGAGGCCAATTTATGCACGTCTTTGAGCACGCCTACGACAACCCGGGCAAGGACCTGGCGGCTCGAGAGCTGTACCTGCTCAACATGGTCTTTGCCATAGGCTGCGGCGTCATTGTGGGCGAGCCCGTCAAGACCGAGGCATCGGAAAAGATGCCCATGCACCAGACCAGGAAGCAGCGCCGGCCCGAGGAGTACCACGCGAGCGCCATTGTGCACCTCGAGTCGTGCCTGAGCTTCAGCGGCGGAGGGCTCGAGGTGCTGCAGGCCGTGCTGCTGCTCGCCAACTTTGCCCTGCTGCGCCCCGTGCCGCCCGGCCTTTGGTGAGAGCACTCCTGCGCGTGCAGACTCCCGAGGAGATGAAAGCGCCCCCCTGACTGTTGATATAGGTACATTACCGGAGTGGCGGTACGGCTTGCGGTGGACCTCGGGCTTCACCACGAGGACGGGGGCGACGTTGAGGGGCCTGCCCAGGTCCGGTCGTCGGGGCCTGACGTGGCCAGGGGCGGTGCTCAGGAGCGCGGGCGGCGGCTATGGACCCGCGACATGCGCCGGCGGCTCTGGTGGTGCACGTACTCGTTCGACAGGCTCGTGAGCACCTGCGTCGGTAGGCCCTTTGGCGTCAGCGACCAGGTCATCACGACGGAGCTGCCCTCGCTGCTCGAAGACGACTTCATCACTCCAACCGGCTTCCTCGAGGAGCCCGAGGGCAACGGGCTGCGGCCCAGCTACAAGCACGTGGCGCACCACTACTTTCGCCTGCGCATGCTGCAGTCGGAGATGCTCCAGGTGCTGCAGTACAACCAAGCGCAGATGGCGCGGGCCGCCGCCAGCAGCAGCAGCAGCAGCAGCGACGACAGGCAGGGCGCGCGGTATCGTCCCGAGATGCACGCGCGGCTCTCGTCGCCCTATCTCGCGTGCTTTGACTCGTTCCGGACGTGGCGCATCGACATCGACCGGCGGCTCTACGAGTGGAAGGCGGCGGCGCCGACGCGGCTGGAGACGGGCGTGGCCTTTTCGACCGAGTTCCTCGAGCTCAACTACTGGCAGGCCATCATCATGCTGTACCGGCAGAGCCTGAGCGTGCCCGTCATGTTCGAGGGCGAGTACAACACGTCGGACGAGGTCAACAGCCCCGCCGCCTACACGGTCGAGCTGCGCGAGGACGAGGATCGCATCTACCTCAAGGTGGCCGAGGCCGGGCAGAAGATTCTGCGCATCTACCGCCAGCTGCACCTCAGCGGCCTCGTGAGCTACACCTACCTGTCCACGCACCACCTCCTCATGGCGGGTATCTCTTACCTGTACGCCATCTGGCATTCCCCCGTCGTGCGCAGTCGCTTGGTACGTGACTCGTTCCCCTTTGGTCGAGCTGCCCTTCCTTGTCTCCTTGTCCTTTTCGTGTCTTGATGCATGCGAGAGAAGCCGTGTTGACCGTCAACAGTCCATGGACGAGGTCGACTTCACCGTCCTGGCCGCAAAGTCGGTCTTCACCGACATGATCGACAAGTGCCCGCCCGCGGAAACGTGCCGCGACGCCTTTGACAGGACGGCAAAGGCGACCATCAAAATGGCCAGCTCGAGCGGCGGCTTCGGCCCTCGGCCGGGCAGCCACCACGCGCACCGGCACATGAGCTGGGCGCCCGGGCCTGGCGTCGCGTCGTCGACGGCGTTGCAACAGCAGCAGTTGACGCGCCACGGGCACAGCAAGTCGGCGGATCAGGGGTCGGCGTTTCACCTTGACATGCCCATGCCGGACAAGCTGTCGTCGCCGAGCCAGTCAGCCGCCACAGGGGAAGGGCAGACGCCGCCTCTGCGCAGGGCCAAGACGTTTGACGCGGACACGCACATGGCCCCGGCTTGCCCGCACGGCGCGCCGCGTCCCGCCGAGAACGCCATGAGCCACGAGGGGGCGCGGCCGCCGTCCTCCTCGCCCATCGATCCGCTGCTGGCCCCGTCGCCGCCGTTGTCCATGTCTCGGCGGGCGGACCTTGAGCAACCGGCGAGCACCTTTATGGGCCAGCAGCAGCAACAGCAGCAGCAGCCGTTTGGCGTGGCGCAGGGCTCGGCGGGCGACTACCCGGACTCGCAGACGCTCGAGTTTCTGCAGACACTGGGCGGCGACGGCATGCACGGGCTGGACCAGGCGCAGTTGGACCTGGGCTTCGGCATCAACTGGGAAGGGACGTACAATGACTACGGCGAGGGCCAGCAGATGAATCCCTTCGACACCTTCTTCTTTGGCGGTGGCCAGCAGAGCGGCGGCGGCAACGGCGGCAGCGTCGGCCGCGGGCGCGCAAGCTCGCATGGGTCGAGCGGCGGCGGCATCAGCATGTGAAGCAGAGGGTTCTCGAGGCAAAGGGGGGGGCCACGAGGAAGACGAGTAAAGAGGATGAATTCGAGTAATAGAGAAGCCCAGTCTTGTCGGTCGGAGCGGCGAAGCCGACGAAAGAAACCTGTCGTGGACAGCGTGTACAGTATACCCCTGGAAGAGGAGAGGACAGCGCAGCAAGGCGGCGGCGGGCGCTCAATATTTTTCGCGAGGCAATGCAGGGAGAGGGACAGGTCTGGGAGAGCTGACGAGTGGAAAGGGCATGTTTTGGCTGGAAATGGACCGGGACAGCAGCGTGCATCATCAAGCGTCTCCTCATCCTGTAGTCTCGCCAAGCCCCTGCCGGCGTTCCACGTACCGCACCGCCAACTCTGTTGCCTCCCCCATCAGAGGAAACAGGCGCGCGGAATGCGTCTAAGTGGTCCACGGGGCATCCACGCCCATGTCGGCGCCGCTGCCTGTGCCCTCCAACGCCAAGCGCGCTTCTCTCGACGCTTCATTACAAAGGATAAAGAGGAAAAGGCGCAAAGGAAAGGGGAGTGTCGGGAGAGGGGCGTGGCGCCAAGGCCAGAAATTGCCTGACAGAGAGAGCTTGCTGGAGATAATCTGATTTCAAGACAGGGGACACAGAATTCCTGAAGAGAGAGGGGGTACGCCGGTCAATGTCCCCTCCCGTGGTCCGGGCTATACCGCCTGCTCCCCTCTCTCCTGACATGACGCAACGGCGCATCGCCGCCGGCGAAGCGATCAGGCTCAATGTCGCGATAGGCGCCGCGCCGCGCCTCCTCGTCGCTGCGGCGGCTCCGGCCGCTGTGCCTGCGGCTCTTCCTGCGAGGCGGGGGCGGGCTGTGCTCCTCGATGACCACCACCTCGTCGTCGCCGTCGTCCACGACGACGCCCGGCGGGGGCGGCGGGGGCGGCATGCGGGGAGCCGAGGCAGCAGTCTTCGGGGCGGGCGGCGGGGGCGGGCGCGACGCGGCGGCGTGGTCGACGACGAAGTGCTCGCGGGTGCGCACCTCGACCGTCTCGGACGCGCGGCGGGCGGAGCGGCGGCGGCTGCTGCGGCGACGATGATGCTTGTGGTGGGGGTCCGGGGCGGCGAGGCGGGAGCGGGAGCGGGAACGGAGGCTGAAGACGCTTGCCGGGGCGGCGTGGACGACGGACCCGGACTCGGTGGTGCCGCGGCGGGCGGGGCCGAAGCCGAGGGCCGCGTAGACGAGCAGCACGAGCAGCAGGAAGCCGGCGACGGAGCCGAGGACGATGGCGACGACGGTGCCGGGCGGCGGGGAGTCGTAGAGCGAGCCGTAGGTGGCGGGGATGATGCTCTCCGAGGAGGCGGGTGGGAGGGGGTTTTGGCGGGCGGCAAGAGGGACGACGGCCGTCTCGGCGTGGGTGGCGTCTGGGGTTGGTTGCTGCTGCTGCTGCTGTTGAAGGCGGAATGTTCGTGGCGGCGGCGGCGGCGGTGATGGGGATGGAGGGTCGGGGGCCGCGCGCACACCGGCAGGGTCGAGCTTCGGCGCGAGGGCGGGCATCCTGTCCCGGCGGAGAAAGGGGGACGGTATGGGTCTTGAGCGGTATAGTAAAGACGCGCGCGAGAGAGAGAGAGAGAGAGAGGGGGAGAGGGTAGATGTATATCGTCGTCGCGTTTCTCGGTCGCACGAAAACCTCCCCCGGGGGAGCCAAGGCCCGCGCGTCAGCGGTCTTCAACGGTCCATTCTGCAGGGCCTTGGGTGCGTGCGTGCGTGAGAGTGTGTGGGTTCCGCGTCGGCCGGGCAGGCAGAGTGAGAGACCGTCGTTCTCGCCCGTCGTCCCCGGTGGGCGGCGGCTGTTGTTTTATGGTGTTGGTTGGTGGAGAGGAGGCGCTCAGCGGGAGGCGGCGGGAAGAGGCGGGAGGACTATCTGGGGGACTATCTAATCTCCAGTAAGATGTCGATTGTACCTCTCTAGTCGTACTTTGCACACTGATAAGCAAGCATGTGCACTCACTACCTACAAAGGACTGCCTTGGTTAAAACTGAGGAAGTCCATGCATGTAATTCAACCGTCATCTTGGCAGCTGCCGTTTATTATGGTCGTCGCTAGGCGGGGTCCGCTGTAAAGAGTTAGGGCCGGGCCTAGACGCACGCTAACTCTGCGGGTCAAAGTCAGCCATTGTTGGCCCGCCAGCCCAGCCAGACAATAAAGCGCCGCTATTTACACTGTATATCTACTGTACGGCCGCCGTCTGTAGCGCCGTCGGACACGGTGTGTTGCGCAGTACGCGGCCCCGCCTCGGGCCGAGACACGGAACGCGACAGGTCACGTGGAGATCCGGCGAGTGGGGCCGGGGCCATCGCCGAGGTCACCGTCGTCGGCGGTCCGTCCCCGAGGCGCCTTTCGCCCCGCGCCACCCACGCTTTTACACCCACACGCGGTGTGCCAACTCTTTACAATCGCTCATATTCAGCGCCATTATTCGTACATCAAAGCTATCTAGGCTCACTTTTATAACGACAGTTGGCCTCTTGTTGCTTTGCATCCCACATCATACCTAGTCCATGAAATCCCGTTTCGCCCTCGCCAACTCGCCGAAAACAACTCAATACTCGCCAAAGCGACGATACGGACAAGTCGTCGTTGGTCATGAACCCTGTCCACCCCGCGACTTGGACTTCCCACGGGACCGTCCGTAATCCCCCTTGAAGCCCGTCACCACAATCAACTCCCCCGTTGCGTCGCTCGTCACAAACAGTCTCTCGCCGCTCCTCCCCATCGCCAGCCCCACTGGCCGGAAGCATCCAGAGGGGCACACGGACTCGTCGGCGTTCCAAATGACCTTCTCCTCGGCCTCACGGCTGTTTCTCTCGTGCACGGGGAAGCCGTCGGAAAAGGACACGCGGCTGACGCGGTATCCCGCTGCCGGTTGCCGATTCCTACATTCACGTCAGCCCCTTGCCGTGCGAGAGACATGTGCCTCGGGGTCCACACTCACCAGCTGCCATGAAAAGAAATGTACGCCGCCGAGCCGTCGTCCTGAAACTTAATGTCCAGCGGCGCAAGGTGTGACTCAAACGTGATGCGCGGCGCCACCGTCTCCCGTTGGCACCAGTCGTCGGTCCAGTTCTTGGGCATGTGGTCGCCCACCATCGGCTTGCCCGTCTCGGCGCCGCCCGGATAACGGCCCACGTTGGAGCTGTCGTACATGGTCACGCACACCGGGTAGCCAAAGTTCTTGCCGTACACGTCGCTGTACGTGTCATCGGGCCGTCCGTGAAAGTTGAGCTCCTCGCCCGGGTTAGACTGGTGGATGTCCTTGCCCCTGCGCTTCATGTCGTCGAGCGAGTTTTCAACCGACCACTGCGCACGCATCGCGCCTCGTCAGCCCAACCTTCTCTCTACCGGAGCGCAGCGTACTGGTGAGGACAGGCCGGGGGCTTACAATGTTGCCCGTCGAGGGATCCTGAGTGACGCCCACGCTATTGCGGAGTCCCCACCCGAGGACTGCCCCACTCGAGTACTGCACTGGGTAGTCGGCGTTGAGGAGCTCGTCGAGCTTAAAGACGCGGATCTGGCTGCGCGCCGAATCCATGTCCGTCGTGCCCTTGTCGACGTTGCCGTCGGAGCCGCGCGAGACGAGAAGGAGGTCGGGGTTGAGTTCTGGAATCAGAAGCGTGCGCGTGGCGTGTCCGCCCTGCCTCATGCCCGTGATGACGTGTCTTCTCTGGCCGACCTTGCCCTCGACGGCGTCGTACTTCCAAGCATAAACATCCGAGAACGACGACGCAAAGAGCGTCCGGCCGTCTTTGGAGAGAGCGATGGCATGGTTGAGCTTGAGCTGATATGAGTGGTCAGCTGTGGACTTGACGGCAGTGTTCACACGCGCAGGCTTCTCGACAAGATGGAGCCGACGGACACGCACCTTGGAGTCGGGAACGAGCTGTGATTTCGACTTGAAACAGACATGGGCCCCATGGCCATCATCGAGCACCACCCTCGTCACCCCCTTGCCGCCGCCACCGCGCTCGACCAGGAGCAAATTGCCCTCCGTGTCTACAACGAGGCCGCGCGGGTCTGACAGGCCATCCAGCAGCACCTTGTACTCGACGCCCGGCGCCGTCACCAGCTTGGCCGCGGGCTTTTCGTACTGGCAGTACGTCGAGGCCGTCACCACCGACAGCGCCGCGGCCAGCGTCGCGAGCAGGGCCAACCTTCTTGGGGGCGCCATGGGGACGGATCCGATGGTGATCCGATGGATGGGAGGCCTTTCGGCATGCGCGCCAAGAGAGAACGAGTTCAGAATGGCCTTTTCCGTTTGGTTCGCTCGAGACTTCCCCGGGCGACACCATGGTACCTGATATGTCGATTATTTATTCCCCGACGGGTGGCGTCCTCGATCCAGCCTGCCTTGGCACGGCCTCGTCGACGCAGGCTTTGAGTCGCTTGAGGCAGGTATCATTCCAACGCGGGCGCCGATCGTCTGCGGACAGCCATCGATCGCCCCCTCCCTGCTTGTTGTCTTGCGTTCCGCATCTCGCGCTCGCAGCCAGGGATTCCCCTCACAGTGTGCCGATTCGTGCCGGTCAAACAACGGTGGTTCGCGCTCTCTATTGTCGGCCGAGTCGCGCGATGTGACGACGCCGAGGAAAGCATGGGCGGTCAGGCGCGGCAGCCAACCAATCCACGGCCATATATTGTCCCGCCAATTAAACCAAGCCGACGTCCGTCGCAGCGCTACGGCAATTTATACGGAGAGGCTCGCCGAGCCTTTCCAACACTGTCGAAGCCGGCTTCCACGGGATGATGCAACGTGCCTAATCAATGCAAAGGCCTTGTTTCGCCTGACACATGCCACTGGAATGGCCATTTAGTCATCGACTTGCAGCCGCTGGCAATGTGTCTCAATCTTTTTGCCGCGCACTCGATATCTACATGGTATCCGTGCCTATTTGTCCGCCCATTTCAAACAGCTCTTGCGACGCTGCCGCAAGCCGGTGCAAAGTAAAGTCATCGAGACAAGTCCCTAGTCTAAACGATTCGACTAGTCGTCTCGGGGTATCGCGCAAACAGAAGCCACCCATCGCCTCACAGGGGTTGCTGCTCCCTCACCATACATCAGCAAAAGCCAAGGAGAAACGGTGCCACCCCCCATCGCCATACGAGGCGGAGACCTCCTCTAAGGCTAAGCCTCGGCGAGGCCCTTGTCTAAGCCCGCGGTATGATACAATCCAAGGACATGCGGATGGAGATGGTGCATCTTCAAGAGACGCCGCAACGAGGCTCTCGGTGTCAAAGGGAGACGACAAACGAAGGATGGAGCCTCCTCGTAAGCAGACCAACGCCCCAATGGAAAAAGGTGGCAAAGGCGCCGAGAAAATTCGAGAGTGTGCGTCAAGTATCATGCTCTGAGCGCGAGGTTTTGCGGAATAGGCGGCAACGCGCGTGTTGGCGGCGGTGCGGGCGGCGGCCCTTCCGTCAGCTGTGGCATGCTCCTACGGTTGAGCAGCGCCTTCTCCGTCATCTGCACCTTGAGATACGGGCTGCTGGCGTGAGGATGGATGCGCCCTGTCGGGGAGCTGGACAGTGTCCCCCGACCCGGCGCAACAGACCGCCGGTTGCGGGCCTCGTGTGCGACATGTGACTCGTCGTCTACCCCCTCGAGCCCTGTGCTGTGAGGCGATCCGTATGATCGGCTCTGCGGGGTGCTGGGGTCCAGGAAGGAAGATTGGTACCTGTCCATGTCGTGGTCCCGCGGTGTCAGCGGCGGCGACCGGAGCCCGCCCACTGGCTCCTGGCGTCGTCTCGGGGGCACAGAACGGCCCGTCCTTGTCGCCGAGCCGTTCTGTGTCCAATTCGCGCCGACGCTACCCGCCCTTTCTCTGCCGCGAGAGGCCGAACGAAGTCGCTGGTGGCTGATGTACTTGGTAGGGGACGGTAACTGGTTGCCTCTGTACGCCGTCACCGGTCGTTGATGACCGGCTTCCCGCAGTGGCGGCTGGTCCATCACAATGGACAGCGTACGAGTAGCTCGCAAGGCTGGCGGAGGCTTTCCCCTTGCGAGCCGAGAAGGCTCGAGGGAGGGCGAGCTTTCAGCCTCAACCGGGGAAGCCCTGGTATGCGAAAACCGCCGGTTTGATGAGTGCGGGACGCTGAAATTGGGAGTTGGGTGTAGTCCAAGGGGGGAAACGGCCCCGTCGCTGCGAAGGATCAACCCGGCAGCCGAAGGAGACCGAATTTCCGCCTGGTCCTGCTGGCCGGGGTCGATGAATGGTGCCGCGACTTGTACCGACTGCCGTCGAATGGAGATGTCGGAGGCGTTGGGCCTCGGCTTCACCACCACGTCGGCAGCTTCGCCGGGTCGGGCATGCATCTCGTCCGCCGGAGGAGTAAGGTGCTCTCGCGTGGGCGACGCCTCGGGAGAGGGGCCAGCAGAGGTGACCATGGTCCGCTGGCCAGACGAGCCGAGGGACAGGCGATTGGAGTGCTCACGCAGATTGTCCAATTGGCGCTCGTCCTGGGAGAGGCCGCTATTGGATGTAGAATCATCGTCGACGGCGTCCGGGCCGATTATCTGGTTCGGGCCGTCGCCGCTATTGGCCCCTCGTAGGCGCGGCGCCGTCGCATGATTGATGCCATGGTGGTTGGGGCCGGGGCTGCGGAGGCGTGGCAGTGATTTCGCCATCAGAGCGCGCTTGCTGTGCCGTTCCGGGAAGGGCTGAGAGCTCTCCATCGTCTTGGGCCTGCCCGTCTCCGACAGATTCTTCTTGCCGCCCAGCCTCTCAATCTCGCCCCGCAGCGCCGTTATCCAAGTTTCCATGACTTCGGCGCTTTCGAATACCATGAGTAAGTTTGACGTGTTGCGCCTATCTATCCGAAAGGGCAGCTTGGAGAACAAGGAGCGAGACTCCGGCGCCGGAGTGCCGTCAGCTTCGGCGGTTGAAGAAACACGCACGACCCAGTGCCGGCCAGGGATCGCGTCCGTCGCAAAGGCGGCAGACGAAGGGCCCAGACGCAGGATCTTCTCGGGCATGCGGTCGAAGTGGCCGTCTCCAGCATATTGCAAGAGATAACCCGAGGTGACGAGGACGAAAATCTTGGTTGTCCATTCCAGACTCTCGGCCGATGCCGACGCCAGGCGGCGGTGCTTCTTCTTGTCCTTGTCCTTTTCGCCGCGACTGCCGAGCCCATTGGCTTGAGCAGAGACTGCAGCCTCTTCGGCCAAGCCCATGCCCTGCCTCTTTTCGTTGAGGCGCAAAATGGCATCGGCCGAGATTGTTGCCGCTGGCAAAATGACATGACGAACAGCCTGGGGAAATGCCTTGAACAACGGCGGCATCGACCAGTTGGCGGTCTTGAGCTGCCTGAACGGCTTCGAAGTCGGGACGTGAGGGCCGGGCGGGGGCAACGCCGGGGAGGCAGGCGTATGATCCCAAGGGGCGAGCGGAGGAAGAAGGGCGTCGGACTGGTGCGCCTGCGGCCATTGTCCCAATTCGGCAATGGACGCGCGAATGCGAGTCGATCTCGGGCCATGGGCTGTGCGCGGGACGGGATCTAGCTCCTTTGCGGGCTTGGAGCGACCGAAAATGCTCTTCAGGCCGAGTCTCGACTCCCGACGGTTGAGCTTACTATGGCGGGACGCGGGCCGCCGGTCATCATGAGCGGCCGGGTCAGTGTCGAGAGCCGGATCGGTGGCAGGTACGAAGTGTCGGTTCGAAGGGACGTCAGGGACATCGTCATGGGCCATGTTGTAATGATGGCCTCTTCTCGCCGCAGAGTCAGGAGGCGGGAGGTGTGCGGTTCCGACTGAGCTCAAGTGAGGCGGCCGGGGGAGCCCGGGCGAGCCATGCGAGGCGGGGTGAGGCCGTCGATTTAGCAGGCGATGAGCCTAGGCGGGGCGACGAAAGCAAGACAGAGGAGCAAGTGACGTTCCGTTCCGGGGCTGCAAGGTGACACAGCGAGGCGTCTGGAATGTGAGAGTCGACGTGATCGGGCTCGGGCGCGAATGAACGTTTGGTCGGGCTGGGCTGGACGACGGGGTAGTTCGAGGCTGTGTTAGGACGTGGCGAGGAAGTAATGGTCAAGAGAGCGAGTCCGGTGCCGGACGGAGAGGCAGGCGGGCCAGAGAAGGAGAAGGGAACAAAGGGAAGGCAGAGGAGGAGGCGGAGGAGCAGGCGGAGGAGCAGGCGGAGGAGCAGGCGGAGGAGTGTAGTAGCGGCCGGGGCATATGTAATGCAGTCGGTGGCATTATGGACAGATGATATAATCCCTTCGGCACTTGGGTGGGCGACTTGTTGATGGCCAGGGAACAAGAGATTATCGAGTTGGAGGGACGAGGTCCCGGTCGGGGGGTGTCAACCATGCCTTCCATTTGGCAGGGCAGGTACAGTGGGTGGCGGTACCGGCCGGGGGCGCAGGCTAGGGCTAATGCATTGTGTTTTGCGGAAAAAGTAACCCGGGCGACAGGTACAGGCGTGTGCCTTACATTAGCCCGGCTTGGAAGACTCGGGACAAGGCCTCATGCGCCTCGCGGCTCCCTGCCTGTGCAGCAGTAGCCCAGTGATGCGGGCAGGGATGCAGGGGCCTCTGCCGGGGGCAGGCGAACGGCTGCCCGCCTGGCCAGTGCGCGACGGGCAGTGAGGCGTGGAAGACAGTGGGCAACTTGTTTGCTGTCGACGAGTCATCTGTGTACATATCGGAGAGGTACCTACCGTCCCTATGGGCGGGTACATCGTACCTCCGTACTTCGTACCCAGGTAAGGCACGGATATCTGTCTGTACAGTATGACTGTATCGACGGCCGAACACCTCGATCAAGCAACTCCTGTCATTCGTGTCCACAGTACAGTGAGCGCCCCTCCTCCCCCCTCCCCGGCATGTCTTCCGTCCCGTCAGCTGCGCCGCGAATGCGCGCCCAAAAGGGAGTCGGCGGATGCTTACATATGTCTTGTCTTGTCGCGAGCAGCCTACCAAGTATGCATGTACATGCAGTATGTTGTATATCAGTTATTGACATGTTTCTCGCGCATGGGGCCAATGTTTTTTCCGCCTCCACCCTCTTCATCAATGCGCCAAGCAACAAGGCCTTTGTGGTCTCGATGCTCCATGATTCGTGCCCCCCGCATCCCGGAAGCAGATGCTCAAGGCACCCAAGGTACTGAGTATCTGGCGGTAAAGTGTCCAAGACCTTGATGCCCCCGTCTCTGTGTGCAGACCAAGGTAGACAGTACCTGCCATCCGGTATCCGGTACGGGGAACTCTCCCCGGAGGCCGTGTGCATTGCGGAGGCGCCACGCGTTGCGTACGCGCATCATGGCGGATCATGTGATGTGTGGGAGAGCTGGAGCCTGCTAGACTCGATGGCGCCAGGCTTTTGCCCTCTGCAGAGCTCCAGGCCTCGGCATGACAACGCTGCAAGTCGCATGCTTGGGTCCTCCAATCACCACCACCGTTTCCAGGTTTCCAGGCCTGTCTTCTCTCCTTGCCAGCGGTCAAGCCTTGTCTTTGCAGTGAGACGGGCGCACCGGCGTTGCCGGCGCTCCGGACCCCCCCCTGCCGCCTCACCAGGACCCCGGCCGCCCCCGGTCGTCGGTCCAGCCAAGTACGGGGTACATCCCTATTTATTACGGTATTTATGCACCTCTTTGTTCTCCCCGTCTCTCACAAGCATCGCCTCGTTTTCTTTCCCACCAACCGGGTGGATACGGCCCTGCTAGTGCCATCTCGAGAGGCAAGACGCCTGGCTCTTCTCCCCCATCGGCCCACCATGCTCGTACCCAAGGGACCCCTCGCGTACGACATCAGGTTCTCACGCCACGCGCATCTCGCCGGGGGCTGCCGCCGCGCGTGGTCGGGTGGGTAAGAAGACAGGAGTTGCGTCTCCACCCCGTCGCGAGCAACGGCTGGGTTGGCTGTCGAACACAACCAACTGCCTCCTTTCGTACAGTTCTTCATTCGTAGGCTACAGCGCTGGAGCCCCCTCATGGCGGAATGCGGTCAGACCTCAGTGGCTCTCCCCGAAGGTCCGGCCGCGGACACAACGCGGCGGGACCGGCCGACAAAGGGGAACGAGGGAGCGGGCCAGCTGATTACCCTGTCTCAGGGCACGATACGACGTCTGGAAGCATTGATGATTGCAATGTTTTTTTCTTCCTGCTTGGTCACTGCCTGCCGCTTTGACGTACATGGCATTTTGTTGGCCTTATGGCAACGCCGCTGTCTCCGCTGTCTCGCCTCAAGGAATACCTACAGTACACGTCGTTCCTGGACGTCAACGGACGGGCCGGCCGTTGCAGAGGAGACTGCAACTGCAACACAGCGTGGAGCACGGCTGGTTGGCTCAGGGTTAAATGCACCGTGCCAGACATCCGCAGCGTCTGCGCGCGCCTTGACAATGTTGGCCGTGGCACCTTCACCTTGCAGGCAGCACAGTCTCCCTCGTTCCTGCATGAGCAACTCCCGACGCGATTCGACAGGGGAAAGGGGCACGGCTGCGACGTGATGTGATGTGATGTGATGCGGTTGTAGCCGTCCCGTATTTTCGTGCATGGCGCAGATGCATGCACCTGAGCTGGCTTACACTGACATTCTCCGTATTATGACCATGCATCGTCAATCGACATGTCCTTCCTTAGCGACGGGCGGTGGCGCATGTTTGCGGCTTTATTGGGCCGTCGCTCCACGCTTCGTCTCCTGCCCGTCATCTGGACATAGATATGGCCCCCCAACAGACGGTGCTACCCTGGCGCTACCGGGGGGAGAAGGGGGGCACTGGAGCCTACTAGGTGCTCGTCTCTGCGAATGTTGTGTCTGAGATGCTGCAAGGCCACGACGACAGGCTGCAGCCAGTACATGCACAGGACCCCGAGAAAGAATACGTACAGTACACGCATGAAACACTCTGGTGGTGGGTGTTATGTACAGACATGACATCCGCGAGCAAATGACAGCTCAAATGTCTCGCATGGCCCGCGCTGCTCAGTCTTCCTTTCTTGCTGAGATTCAGGAGCTTGACAGGCATGCACTAGAAACGCCCGTGCCTTTTGACGGTGCGTTGGCCAGCAGGGTCTCTCAGTCGGAAACACAGCCACATGTTTCAACCTCCTTTCCTTGCTTTTTTCTTGTTTGAATTTCCGCCGTATTTTAACCTATGAGCAACGATTCGGGATCGACAGACCAGTTCTCCACTGACCCCGTGTCTGAAAGTTGCCGCCAACACAAAGCCTGGGCGTATGAAGAAATTCTCGCCAGAATCTGGCTGCATAAAACCACTCTGAGGGGAATCTCGTTTCTTCTTCGTCAAGATAGTCCCTTCTATTGGAAGTCTGGGAAGGTGCTGGCGATTGAGCTCCGTGTGCGGTGCCTTCCCTTGGGTCCCTGGTTCCTTCCTTACAGGGGAACACGTGATACCTCATGTGACCCTGTTCCCTTACAGTTAAGTTAGTAATGAGTAGCCGCGTGCAAAGGGTAATTAACGTCAGCCACCTAGCTTACAGCATACCCCCCTTCCAGCACCCTTTTCCCACCAAAAGTCGGGTTTTTTATAAATCTATAACTAATTTATTAAAATAGGTAGAAAGACTAAAACTTTATAGCTAAAGAGCTAAGCTATAATAGATTTATAAAGTACTATAAGTTTTTCTTTTTTTCTAATAATAAATAAGTTATATTACTTTTTAGTTTTCCTATAGTAAAAATAAAATACTAAATAAATAGTTTAAAAAAAATTATATAGTACTATTTATCTTTATATAGCTTTTAGTACTTAAAAGTACTTTCTATTTACTATTTTATCTATTAAATAAAAAGATAATAGGATATTCTTAAAATACCTCTTTTTTTAATAAGGAGAAAAGTTTATTGTTAATAACTTAAAAGAAAAAGCTAGTTATAAGTCTTTAACTACTTTATTAGTAGTATATCCTATAAAAGCTTATTTACTACTTAGCCTACTTTATTAGAATTGTTTTTAATATTAATTTAATACTTTTAAAGTATTAAGGCTTACTAGGTAAAGTAGTATAAAGTACTAACAAAATACTTAAGTTAGCTTTAAGCTTTTATATAAGTATAATTAGATATAATATATATAAAAAGTAAATTTTAATACTAACTTAAGCTATTTTACTAATAGTATTCTAGGAGCTACTAGGCATAACTATTTTTCTTATATTTATTATTTAGTGTTTTAAAGCTTGCGTTTTGGTGAGAAAGGGTGCTGGAAGGGGGGTATGCTGTAAGCTAGGTGGCTGACGTTAATAGCGGTTTGCTCCCCGCTTGGGCGACGAGCTCCCTCGCTCGTCACTGTTTGCTCAGAAAGTGGCCCCACCATCGGGAACTCCAGGGCACTCACTGCCTACCGCCGCCGTCCATCTCGTATCAGCAAGCACAAGTAAGTGATCCACTGCCCGTGCAAGGCATAGATTCCTGCCGCGGGCCCTTTTGCTGGCAGCTGCCATGTACAGTACAACAGAGCCACTGCAAGGTACATACAGCATCTACTGTGGACTCGGCGACGGCACAAGTACAGAGCTGGCAGGTGGCGCCTAATAACCCCTCCTCCGTCAACGGCCAGCTTGTCACTCCACCAACGCCCACGTGGATCTCACTGTACCTGCTGTACCTACCACCTTCACTGCCCACCGGCTGCTTGGCTTCAACCTTCCCCACGACGTCGAGCTTTCATCATCCCCATCCAACAACGTCCTCGCTTGGCATCGCCACCATATTTCTCACTCCGACTGCCTTCGGCCACTCGTCACCATGGCAAACAGCCAGGGCTCCCCGCTTCCCCGCGCCGACTCTCCTACCCGCTCTCCCCGCTCTGCATCTGTCTCGCTGCAAGCTGCCGCCACCATGAACGCCGGTCTCCAGCGCGAGCCGTCTCGACGTATGCCGCCCCCTTTCGCTCTTGTCCTCGGCTGACTTTCTCTCCAGAGTCGTCTAGCAGCTCGTTGCCGCGAAACACGTCCTCTCCCCACGCCGGCCGCCGCCGATCGACGGTGCTCATGAACCTGCAACTCAACGACCCTTCGATACCTGCGCCCGGCGAGATGGCCCACGACCAGTCTGGCAATCAGTATTCGAGCCCTCAGCCTCTTTCCGGCTCTCCCTTGATGGCAGATCCTCATCATCATCGCGCACCCAGCTTGGGCGAGCTTCACCAGGAGTTGGAAGCGGAGCAGGAGGCACATGTGGTGCGTCTCAGCCACCCTCTCCCGGCGCACAGCACTCTTCTTGGCTAACACGCCCACCGCAGAATCGTCTGCTGCAAATGATCCGCCAGCAGCAGCTGGAGCTTCAGCGTCTCCAGGCCGGACGTCCTGGTGACGAAAGCGCCGTCCTGGACACTCGAGAGAGGCCCATGTCCGGTGCTTCCCAGCAACAGCCCATGTCGCTTCCTGGCGGCCCTCCCCCCGCAACCATTGGCTCGTACTCCCGCTCGCCTGGCTTCTCGCATCCACGAAGCTCCTTTGACGTGGCGCGCGCCGAACTCCATCGTCGCTCCAGGACCCCAAGCCGCGGCGCATCTCCGAGGCTCCGGGCCACCTCGATCAGTGCCGATAGCGGAGACTGGGTGCTTGGTGGCCGTGACGAAAGCGCATTTTACCAGGCCGAGACTCAGATGCTGGTCCGCGAGAACCAGATGTTGCGGCACCGCATCCGCGATCTCGGTACGTGGGGCTTATGAGTCTGCATGTCATGGTGCTAACGCAGAATACAGAGAAGCAGTTTACCGACCTTTCGGCTTCTTCGACGAGTGCGACGGAACCGACGATACCCTCTCAACTCACTCGATCGTCTACCACGGCGGATGAGGGGGGCGAAGCGGACGCCTCGGAGAAGGAGTCATGAGAGCGAACTGATGAATGCTAGTACGATGGAGACGTCATTCTTTTCCCTCTTTGCGGCTAGTTGTGGAGTTTAGGGAGGCAAGGACAGGAACGAGCAGAACGTCACTCACGAGAACACGCGAAAAATTGCACATGTGGCGTCATGGCCACGAGGGGCAAAATGCTTTACTGGTGGTCATCATCATCCGGCGCGTGGGACTTGGCAGGCGGGACAGATATATGTATGCTACGTCCCGTTGCTGCGCTGGAGTTTGCACCGCAGGCCGCGCATAAGCGCACGTAAAGGCTGGCGAAATCAAAACATAATTGTCGAGTTACGCATGTCTGGTGACTCAGGCAGGAGACGGTGTTGCAAGGCGACGAACCGGCCGGCATCCCGCTCGGCCGATTCAGTGCCGAGACCCGGAGCCGGCCGGGGCGTTTGCTGTACGTCGCTGGTGCGGAGACGGGCGGCTGGCAGCAACGACCTACATGCTTTCACCTCGCTCCATAAGGGCGTCCTGTCCCCGACTCCGATCCCGGCACACCTGGACGAACCTCAAGCCGTCTCTAAGCTTGTAGACACGTGCTCGGATCGCAATGCCCGTGGCCAAAAGACCCGCGATGTCGCTTCTCTCGGTGAGGCGGACATGGCTCTCGCCAGGACGGCATCACCAGTTCAGCTCCACGGCGGCGGCGAGGGCCGACTTCACTCATGCGGTAAGCTTCGGGCCACTTGTCACTCCCTTGCGCCTCCCCCCTCCCCGAACATGCCTTTTGTCAGCTTGAGCTCTTGACCCTCGTGTCTTGTCGTTCGGCACCTGGCCAGAGGCGACGGGACATGGGGAACATTGAGCCTCGTCTAAGACTCTTCTTCCTTGCCTTGGCAAAACCAGGTCATAGGCGGCGGCGTCGTCGGGCTCGCCATCGCGCGCCAGCTCTCCCGGCGACCGGACACGACGACGCTCCTCGTCGAGCGGCACGGGGCCGTGGGCACGGAAACGAGCTCGCGCAACAGCGAGGTGGTGCACGCGGGCATCTACTACGGCGCGCGGAGCCTCAAGGCGCGCCTGTGCGTGCGCGGGCGCCAGCTGCTCTACGGGCTGTGCGAGCGGCACGGCGTCGGGCACGCCCGCGTCGGCAAGTGGATCGTGGCGCAGACCGAGGCCCAGCGCGAGGCGATCGCGCGTATCCACGCCCTGTGCCGCGACGAGCTGGGCGTGCCCACCAGGTGGGTGGAGAGGGCCGAGGTGGCGCGCAGGGGGGAGGGGGTGCGTGCCGAGGCCGGGGCGCTCGAGAGTCCCGAGACGGGCATTGTTGATGCCCATGGGTTGATGGTGTGTCTGCAGGGCCTGTTTGAGGAGGCCGGCGGCGTCGTGGCCCTCAACTCGGCCGTCGAGGGCGTCACGCCCCTCGGGTCCAGTCCGCCCGGCAGCGCGGGCTGGCAGCTCCACGTCCGCGACGCCTCGACGGGCCGCCTCTCCACCGTCACGGCCGAGACGCTGATCAACGCCGCCGGCCTCGGCGCCGTCGCCGTCCACAACATGATCGCGCCGCCGCCGCGGCACCGGACCCTGTACTTCGCCAAGGGCACCTACTTCTCCTACACGTCGTCGCCGCGCCTCCGCGTCTCGCGCCTCATCTACCCGGCCCCGGAGCCCGGCGCCGCCGGCCTCGGCACCCACTTGACCCGAGACCTGGCCGGGTGCGTGCGCTTCGGCCCGGACGTCGAGTGGGTCGACCGGCCCGACGACCTGGCCGCCAGCGCCGACCGCCTCGCCCAGGCCGCCGGCGAGATCAGAAAGTACCTCCCGGCCGTCGACGAGGCGTGTCTGAGCCCGGACTACGCCGGCGTCAGGCCCAAGCTGAGCTACAGGGGCGCCGGGGTCTCCGGCCGCGGCTTCAACGACTTCGTCATCACCAAGGAGGAGGGCTACGAGGGATGGGTCAACTTGCTCGGCATCGAGAGCCCGGGCCTGACCAGCTGCCTCGCCATTGCCGAGAGGGTCGAGCAGCTATTGCATGCTAGCGTCAGCGGCTGATGGGCATCCCGGTCCTGTCCACACGCCATGTCCACCGCCCTGGTCCCCGGCGTCCAGTGTAACTTAGTGCACCTTCTGTGGGAGACGGTGGGCCACGCTGGGATACATCATACGCCAAGGCGAGCCGTGACAAGCATCAAGGCCATAGCGCAAATACGAGAGCGATATTCAGAGACCCCCGTTTCGGTAGCCTCCGCGTTTACAGTAGCGAATGTTGTCCGTACAGCTGTCCTTTCCGCTCCCACCTTACCTGCCCAGGTATCTCATACAAAAAAAAACCATTACAAGCACGCTGTCCCGCGTTGCACGCTCGTCGTGAGTGGCCATCGCGCCGTGACAAAACGACGGGCAGCTGCCGTCCGAGTCGCCCGCTGTTCCTAAAACGCCTCATGTCGATCCTGGACATTCCATCCGAAAGCCCCCAACGCCGTGTCGAAGCTCGCGCTTGAAAAGCCGGCGAGCACATGCTTTTGCTCATTCATTACTTCAACGTTTTCGCCTTTTCCTTTTTTGTCTCGCGTGGCCTAGCTCATGGTGATGCTCGGGCAAAACTTTCTGCTCTGGACGTTGATGTGTAGCTCGTATATGCCGTTTTGAGCCCCGACAAATCTGGGAGAAGCCGTTAGTGCCTCGTGCAAGGGCCCGCAAAAGAAAGTCCGGCGATGCATGGTTTTACACTTACAAGGTGCGGCCGTCGGCAGTCCAGGCCAGCCCGGCCGTGTTGTCCGGCGAGGGAGGAACCTCGAAGACGCCATGATCAGCGGCTAGTGTTCCCCGGATAGCACTCTCCTCCCAGCGGTTCATGGCTTGGTTGACGAGCGGCACAAGGAGCGACGAGTCTTCGTGTTCGGCGTCGCCGGGGGAGCGCTCCCTGGCCTGCAGAATTTCCAAGACATTGAGGTACGACGAGTCTGGCCTCTCGCGCTGGTCCCGCATGGCGGCGACCGTCTCGCCGATCCTATCCATCATCCGCTGGTCCAGCCGGCGGAGTGACTGTCGCTGCTCCCCGGCCTCACGAGCCAGCTGCCGCGCGGTGCGCATGCGGTCAGAGGCACGCTCCCGCTGATCTCGGTAGGGGCCCAGCATGTCCCCCATGGCGCGGCCGACGCTGCTGCTGCGCTCCCTTGGCCGCTGGGAATCACCGTCGTTAGCCGAGGGCCGAAGATTGGCTAGGTACGTCCATGTCGAATCCGACCCCCGGGACCCTTCCTCGGTACCTGTCCCTCTCTGGGACAGGCGCTCTCGGCGCCTCCTGTCACTTTGAATAGCTTCCAAAACTAGAGTCTCGTTGGCACTAAGGGGTTGGTTGAGCGTCTCAAGGCCCTCGCCGTGCCTTCTTCGCGATGCGGCCGAGGGCGGCGACCTGGTGCTTCGCCTCTCGCCGTTGTTGTTCAGTAGCCGAGGATCAATGGTATTGCGATCGAAAATATCTATGTGTTCAAACTCGGCTTCGGCATTGATGTCGACAATCTGGCGAACAACAAAGTTGCTCCGCATGTCGGCAAAGCCAATGTGCCCACGATCCTCAGTCCATGCCAGAATGTCAAACGGGCCCGGGCAGAAGGCCATGTCTCGAATGGCGCCTGGTCCGCTCTCGGGACGCGACGACTTGAAGGTAGTGATGAGCGGCTCGGCACCCGACTCGGAGAGTTGGGTCGTATCGAATATAGAAATAGTGCCGTGCTGCGTTCCGACGGCCAAGTATGCGCCCGAGGGAGAGAAGCAGGCGGCAAAGCTTCCCCGGCTGTCGGACCTATCATTTTTGCGCTGGCTCTTGAGCAGAAACCGCTGCTTCAATTCCCATTGACGCCCGCTGCCTGCATCGCCCGAGGTGGACGACGGGGACTCGGCCGGTCGCTCCATGCGCTCGTGGACGTATAGATAGGGATCGTCAAGGATGGCGACGAGATATCGCCCGTCGGGAGAGATGATGGCGCGATTGACGAAGTCGGGGTACGTGATCACGTCCAAAGGATCCGACTTGTCGTTTTGTTCAAAGTCGCGCAAGCTGACAAGCACCACGGTGCGGTCGTTGTTGGCTAAGACGGCGACTGGTTCGGCGTAAGCTTCTTCAAAGGCCGGAAAGACGGTCGGGGGAAACCAGAGGGTGATGCAGTTGACCCGGTCCTTGGCCAATTTCATGCTCTTCGCTATCAAGCTTTTGTTTGTGCGGCGAGCCTGAGCAAGGAGAGAGAGGAGGGGGTCTTGGCGCGAGCCATCAAGACCGAGATGTCTCCTGGCGTCGGGGCCCAGTTCCAAGTTCATTCCGGGCCCTTGGCTGTCGTCGCTCCCCTCGTCGAGGCGGATGGCGACGAACTCGCCCGTCTCGCTGCCGCAGCAGAGCCAGCCATTCTCGGCGACGAGGCAGCGGGGCGCAAAGGTCAGGAGCTTGATGGTTTCGCATTCGTGGGTGATGGTGTTGAGGCGTTGGACGTGGTTGCTCCCGTTGCCGCCGGGGAAATAGACGAGATGTCGCTTCTCTGCGCTGATGAGGGAGCGCAGCTGCCAGTGTCTGGGCGCGGGGGTCAGCGTCAAGGTCCTCGAAGACTGGCGGGAGCGGACATACTGTGATCGGACGGGAGCCCGGTAATGTTTGCGCGCTTTCTTGGAGACGATGGTGTTGGTCGGATAGGACCTGGGGACAGTCATGATGCCATCAGCATCGGGCCAAGCGGTAGGGGGCGATTTAGAGGGGGAGGCTGTAGAAAGGACGCGAGGGGGAAGGGAGAAACTAACGGGTTGTCGTCATGCGCGGCCATGGTCGTCTGCGGCCGTCGTGGGCCGCTGGCCGCTTGGGGCAGCAGCTCTGCGGAGAAGCCGGGGTTGCCTGGTGCAGCGAAGGCCGATGGGGGCGTATCGTGCGCCGCCCTCGACGCGCTGGGCAGCTGGGCCTGTGTCTTTTGTCGCTCAAGGGGCGTGGTGGCGATGGCCGCATGCGAATGCGGTTTTTGCGGCGAGGAGGGAGCCTGCGGGGGCCGACGAGGGAGGCGTCCACGGGGGAGGGGAAGGGGGGGAAGGGGGAGGGAGAGCTGAGCGATCCAAGACTGGAAGCGAGTTGTCAGTGAGGAGCGCCTGGGCGTGAAGATGAGGCTTGCAAGGCATGTATGGCCGGCCAACTTGGGAAGAAAGATACGACAGCCAAGGTAAGTATGGTATGGGTCTATGGGAAGTGTGGCCCGCCGCAGCGCAGTACTGTGTTGGGGGAAGCAGGCCGGAATGGCGATTTTTTTGGGTACAAAGCACGTAAAGCATGCTGATGGCGCTGGCTGCTCATTGGTGGCGGATGACGTCTGGATGGGCTGCGGAAGGTTGTAGGCGGTACATCGAGGCGAGGTCGCGCGGATCAGCCCAAGAGGCGGCACGACAATCCCCCATGGTGAATTGGACTTGGCTGCCGTCGGTCGGCCAGAGGGGCCAAGCCTGGCATGGCATCTGGGCCGACATGGAATGGAGAACCATACCTCATGAGCAAGTAATTACCGGGTACTTTGGACCACTTGTGTACCGTAACTGTAGATGCCCTCTAGGACAGCCCAAGTCAGCACGATGCGGCGGCTGACCTTTTGCCAGGGACCTCTGCTCGCGCACGGAGGTATGAACAGGGGCGAGATACAGGAACAGTCTCTTGGTCTTCTATCGCCTGTCCTTTCGCAAGCCGTCTGCTAATACACTCGGCAATAACATCTACACTTGCATCCCAGACTATTCTCGAGCTGCAAGCCATCAATCAACATGCAGTATTATTGTTACTATGACTGACACATTGACAACACTCAGTTCCGATAAGCTGAGCGCTTCTGCTCACAATGACCCACTGCCCCTTTATGCGCATGAAAGCCCGATGCTTGCTCGACGTTCGCAGTCACACCGTCGCACGGCCCAGGCAAATCGGGAACGCCAGTCGAATCAACTGAAGCTTCCACATGGCCCTTGGCGAACTCGTGGCCTGCACAGAAGGATCCCGAATGCCGAGCTTCACACGATAGCCGCGGCACCTTGTCAGGGGCACCTCAGGGACGCCCGCCGTGGGTGTGCTGGTGAGAGCGTCAGAGGGCTTGATAGGAACGGATGAACAAGCCAGAGGCCCCAAGGTTGGCAGAGACCGAGAGCTGCAGCCCCTTGGCTGGGGTGATTAGTCACCCCCTCCAGCAGCCGGCGGGGACCTTGCTTCTGATTGCCCCCTTCCTTCGGCTTCTATGACCGGGGCTAGCTCTTTTTTTTCTCTTGGTCGCGAAAAATTGTTCACCCGCCTTCCATCCTCATCATCACTTTTTTCTCCGTCCATCACCACCCTCCCTCTCCTACACACCCACCCCCCCTGACGTCTCTTTTCCGAGCGCGCCGTCATCTTCCGCGTCTTTTCTGTACCATAATCCGCATCTTTACATCAATATGCTGGCTTCGCGTCTCTCTCGAGCTGTAAGCCATCCACACGCTGCCTCTGTCGCAAGCCTCTGCTGACCCTTTCCCACTCAGCTTCCCCGAGCTGCTCCCCTCACAGCCCGGTCCACTGTCTTCAGCCGGGCACCGCTGGCTTCTAGGTTTGCTCGCTATGAGTCCACGGCGTCCGAGGGCGATGGCAAGGTGCAGGGTGCTGTGATCGGTATCGATCTCGGCACCACCAATTCTGCCGTCGCCATCATGGAAGGCAAAGTCCCTCGCATTATCGAAAACGCAGAAGGTGAGTGCTTTTCCTCGACGCAATCGCCGCAGCGCGGTGTGCTCCGGCTAACACGCATCCCTCAGGCGCTCGTACCACTCCCTCGGTCGTCGCCTTTGCCGAAGATGGCGAGCGACTTGTCGGTGTCGCTGCCAAGCGGCAGGCCGTCGTCAACCCAGAGAACACTCTGTTCGCCACCAAGCGCTTAATAGGACGCAAGTTCACCGACGCCGAGGTGCAGCGAGACATCAAGGAGGTGCCCTACAAGATCGTCCAGCACTCCAACGGCGATGCCTGGGTGTCTGCCCGTGACCAGAAATACTCGCCCTCTCAGATCGGTGGCTTTGTCCTCAACAAGATGAAGGAAACCGCCGAGGCCTACCTGTCAAAGCCTGTCAAGAACGCCGTTGTCACTGTTCCCGCCTACTTCAACGACGCTCAGCGCCAGAGCACCAAGGACGCTGGCCAGATCGCCGGCCTCAATGTTCTCCGTGTCGTCAACGAGCCCACGGCCGCCGCTCTCGCCTATGGTCTGGAAAAGGAGGCTGATCGGGTCGTCGCCGTCTACGATCTTGGCGGTGGCACTTTCGACATTTCCATTCTCGAGATTCAGAGCGGTGTTTTCGAGGTCAAGTCTACCAACGGTGACACCCACCTGGGTGGTGAGGATTTCGACATCCACCTCGTCCGACACCTGGTCGCCGAGTTCAAGAAGACGTCTGGAATCGACCTGTCTAGCGATCGCATGGCCATCCAGCGCATCCGTGAGGCTGCCGAAAAGGCCAAGATTGAGTTGTCCTCGTCCCTCCAGACCGATATCAACCTGCCCTTCATCACTGCCGATTCTTCCGGCCCCAAGCACATCAACGTGAAGCTCAGCCGTGCCCAGCTGGAAAAGATGGTCGACCCCCTCATCACCCGCACCATTGACCCCGTCCGCAAGGCCTTGAAGGATGCCAACCTCCAGGCCAAGGACATCCAGGAGGTCATCTTGGTTGGTGGCATGACCCGTATGCCCAAGGTCGCCGAATCAGTCAAGAGCATCTTTGGCCGTGACCCTGCCAAGTCGGTCAACCCAGACGAGGCTGTTGCCATCGGTGCCGCCATCCAGGGTGCCGTTCTATCTGGCGAGGTCAAGGATCTTCTGCTCCTGGACGTGACGCCGCTTTCTCTCGGTATTGAGACCCTGGGTGGCGTGTTCACTCGTCTCATCACCCGCAACACCACCATCCCGACCAAGAAGTCCCAGGTCTTCTCCACTGCGGCCGACTTCCAGACCGCCGTCGAAATCAAGGTCTATCAGGGCGAGCGCGAGCTTGTCCGCGACAACAAGCTGCTTGGCAACTTCCAGCTCGTTGGCATTCCTCCTGCTCACCGCGGCGTTCCTCAGATCGAGGTCACCTTTGATATCGACGCCGACTCGATTGTGCACGTCCACGCCAAGGACAAGTCGACCAACAAGGACCAGTCCATCACCATTGCCTCTGGCTCTGGTCTGTCCGACAACGAGATCCAGCAGATGGTTGAGGACTCCGAGAAGTATGCCGAGGCCGACAAGGAGCGCAAGGCCGCCATTGAGGCCGCCAACCGCGCCGACAGCGTCCTGAACGACACTGAGCGTGCCCTGAACGAGTATGCCGACAAGCTCGACAAGACCGAGGCCGACGGCATCAAGGAGAAGATTACCGCCCTCCGAGAGTACATTGCCAAGAGCCAGTCGGGCGAAGGCACCGCCACCGCCGCCGAGATCAAGGAGAAGACCGACGAGCTTCAAATGGCCAGCCTGAACCTCTTTGACAAGATGCACAAGGCCCGCAACGAGAGCGGCGAGTCTCAGCAGGCCTCCGGCGAGCAGCAGGCTCCCGAAGATGACAAGAAGGACGACAAGAACAAGCCCTAAACGGCCTGCTGCCTGATGTCTTGTTTGACTATTTTGAGAAGCGCTGGGAGCGGTATAGATCCCTGTTGTATTTATTGTGTACTCATATCCCGTTTCAGCTGCTCTGCATTCACCCCTTTACTCGTGCCCTTTATGTCACAGCTGGCGGGGACCAGGCGTTGGAGCATCAAAACCTTTTTTCAAATTTATCCTTGGCTGTATTACGAGATTATGGTTTTTGGACGTTGGGGACACGTTTTTTTATCATCCTGCATGGCGATGTGCAGGGTCTGGCAAAGGTAGATGTCAATCACAGCTCCTCTCTCAAGCTTTATGCTGTGCAGCAACGCATTTGGCTATTCTGTTCCTTGACGTCGTGCATGTCTCGACAAGCTTGCAGCAGGCAGAGCAGACATAGCTCGGAATCGTGAGCATACGATGGTACCACCGCTGTTTCTCTAAGCCGTCGACGGGTATCAGGCCATCCATCCCCACGAAGTATTGAGCATATTTGTTCCATGCCAGTGCAGGACCTCTGTCCTCGCCCGCTGTCCATCGGGCCTCGGCCAGGTCGCCTCATCCAGCTCGAGCCCAGGGTAATCGTCGGTTGCGTCGAGCCAGCGGCCGAGCAGCGGCCGATTCGCGTCATCGTCGTCCTCGCTGCCATCGACACGGTCGGCGAAGTTCGAGACCAGAGGGTGCGTATACGCCGTCGTGGGCAGGACCGAGAAGTCGCTGGCGACGCGGAAGCCGGGCCGGCGGGGGTCGCGGCCGCGGCTGGGTTCCCGTTGCCGCGACTGCGAGGCCATTTCGTGCCGTGAGAGTCGATGGTGGCTGTGGTCAGGGCGACGACGGCGCAACACGCGAGGCGGGCCGAGGTTCAGGAGAAGCAGCAGCGTGAGCAGGACGGCGAGGATGGAGAGGGAGACGAGCAGCGCGGGGATGGTTGGGCCAAGGGAGGCGCCGAGGGATAGCGGCGTCGGGATTGGCGGCGCGTGTTCGCTGGGGGAAAGGTACAGAGATGGCGAGCTGGGGTCTAGATGGACGGCTGGGCCGTTGTGCGCGGCTGCTCGTCTCGAGCCCATGGGTCTCGAAAGAGCTGCGCCCATCGGCGGCGGACCTTGAAGCAGTGATGGGGGATTGCTTCAAGTGCGGACATGGTCAAGGAGGCGGGCGCGGCGGTCGAATTTGTCGACTTGTTTCCGCGGCGCAGAGGGAAGAGGGGACGAGACAGCGGTTGGAACCATCATTCCACGATGGCAAACGAGACCAGCAAGTGGAACGTAAGTGGCAGGGTTTCAGACATGGACCACGAGCCCCTACGAACGCGCCAAGATTCACTGCGGAGAAAAGAATGGTCAAAAAGACGGCGCAGGCCAGAGTCGAGCACTTTGTTCCATCTAGCCGGCGTTATCAACGTCCAAAGCTGAACCAGCCTCTCTTTTGCTGCGGGGCGCCCTCTGGCGCGGCCTCGACGGCAACCGCCGGGGCGTCGGTGCCGGACAGCTTACCGGGGTAGTCGATGTAGTTCCAGGCAACATCGAGGAAGATTGGTTTCATGGGGATGAGTTCCATCTTGGGGGGAAATTCGACCAGGTTTTCCAAATCCACCCCATGAGTGGGATACTCGTGCAGCCGCTCAATCAACGGGACCCTCTGGCCGGCTGCCGCGCCGTCGCCGTCGGCCTTGCGAAGGTTGTCGATGTGGACGATGGCTCGGTGGCGCTGCAGCTCGCCGTTGAGCAGCTGTGTCAGAGAGTCGAGCGCCTCGGAAGAGACTTCGATGCCCAGGGGCAATGCGTTGGCGGCGGGCGCCGACTTTGGCAGTTTCGACGCCGAGTCCCCACAAAGCTTGGCAGCGTGGTTGATCAGAGCTAGCGCGTTGGCGACGTTGCCAACGACAGCATGGGATCGGGCAATCGTGAGACATCTTGTTCCTAACATCAGTACTGGCGGGTGGCGAGTAAGCGGGAAAACTCACTTGAGTGACTCAAAATATTTGCCAAACGCATCGACTTTGGTCGCAAGAGGCTCATCCGCAGCGATACCTGGTAACTCCTTGATGGACTCTAGGCTTCGAAGAATTCCGTCGTACAGTGCTACCTTCTCCTTCAGCCTGGCCAGCTTCCTGCTTGTGGGCAGCTCACGCTCCTTTTTGGTGGCCGACGGTGCCGCCTTTGCCTTTTTTCTTCTCAAGGAGCCATACTCCTCCGGTGCACCGTCTTGCCGACCGGTCAAGACGCGGTTGCGGCCGATTCTCCAGCTAATCATTTCATAGTTGACGGCAGTTCGTGTGATTTGCAATCGTTGCATACGGGCATCACTCTGAGAAACACCCTCGTTCTTCAGCTCGTCGATGGCCTGCTTGGTAGCGTCGACGGCATCTTGGGTGGCGGTCAGGAGCTCGTCGTAAGCAGCGGCCACTTCGTAGGGTTCTCGATTCTTGGCTCCGGCCAGAGTCTTTGCCAGGGACGATTTTGCACCGTCTACGGAGGCCCAAGCCAGAGAAATCTGGGCGTCCTCGATTTGAACCTCCCGAGACCGCCACGTCAAGGTCCCTGGGACACCTTGAGCGGCGGAGCCGTCGGATTTAGACGTTGCGTCAGCGTCGGCAAGAAGAGTCGGGTCAATTTGATTGACTTGCTGGGTCAAGGCGTCGTCTGATCGAGGAAAGGCCCTTTTCGCAATCGTGGGGATCGGAACTGTTCGGGGTGTTTTCAATTGGTAAGCAGCGTAGCGGATGGAAGGGTCAATGGTTTCGGAGAGCAGGTCCTTGAAATGGTCGCCTTTGCCCGAGGTGGCCAGGGCACTGTACACAATGCGGGCAATGGCATAGCTCTGCAGGCATGGCTCCCAGCTACGTCTCTCGAACTGCATTGCGCCACGAAGAAAGGCAGTGTAGGCTTTGGCTTCGAGAAGGTCGGCCGTGGACGCCGAGGCATCCTTCTGGGAGAGAAGTTGAACAAGATCCTGGGCGGTACGGGCGGCTTTGTCGAGCCGGGAGACAATGTGGGATCGAGTTCGACGGGTCATGTCATTCTGGCCGGAAGAATGAGCCGACTTTGCGCTCATTGCCTGTGCCCAGGCTCGTTCGCTGGTTAGGAGGAGGAGATGGACGTATCTAATGTCAGAGTCAGCGAGAGGAAAGAAGGGGACTGTGACGTGGTCAAGGCTGGTTATTCGTACTCATGATTGCCGCCGACTTGGAGGGCCGTGATGTTGTCCCTTTTTTGAAATTTCCCGCGGTTCTTGGTAGCAACGCCCAGCTTCTTGCGCGAGTTGAGGAGGCGCTTGGCCAGCTGGCTGTGGTAGGTGGAGTAGTCGCCGTAGAGCAAGGCCTGGTCACGGCCTTGAACCACAAAGCTTGTGATTTCCATGGTTGCCGGTCGCTTCGTCCGAGCAGTGCTCGGGTGGGCGGCGAGTTGGAGCTGTTGCGAGTCGGTGTGCTTGCGCTGAGGCCTGGGCGGGCGGATGATTTGGTGGGGCAAAAAGTTGAGGTCGGCTGTGACCTCGTGGTGGATCGGTATTACGTAAGCGGTCAATCCGTGTCGTGGGCCATATCGCTCAAGGGCAACTCATGACTGGTTGGATCTGGGGTTGAAGCATGGGTGCACCAGCGAAGCATGGGTGCACCAGCCTTGAGTCTCCAAGCCCACAGGTCATCCAATGTCTGAACAACTCTCCCGAAGCGCCTTATCTCCTTTATCTCTCCCGCATGAACTAGGGCGTCTCTCGGCACTCCTGCCCAGAATGGCTCACGTGCGCGCCGCTGTGGCTTTACAAGGTGCCAGCTAGGCGGGACTGGAGGGGTCGCACCGGCCAATGGCAGCCGCCGGTCCGCTGCGAACTGCAAACAGTGCCTGGGCAGGTGACCTCACCGATGTGCAGGCAGCGCCGCATTCACGAGCCTCTTCCTCCCATCCATTCACTCACTAGCCAAGGACTCGCTTTCTCATCTCGACAACCCACCAGCCTCTCCTCTTTCTTCGACCCTGTCTGCTTCTCCTGGAGCTGCCGTGCCCGCCCCCATCGTTCGTGGGTCGCCCTCGCCCGTCTCGAGCTGTGCATTCGGTAAGCAGCACCGCCTCTGCCGAATCTCGCAGTCACGGCACTTCGTTTGGCCCCCATTTGCTCACATTTTCTGTTTCTGCGTTGCTGCAGCTCGCCGGCTCTTCCGATAACGCCTCTTCAGCTTCTTTCCCTTGCCCTCCTTGCCTTCGCATCACCTGCCCCCCCCTCCTCCCTCACCTCATCGTTGATTCGTCATCACTGCCGTCGGCCATTTCCTTGCATCGCATCGCCATGAGCCTGTGAACGCGACGAAACCGCCACACATGTCCTCGCCGCTACACCACTGCGTCTAATCTCCTTTCTCGTGCGAGTTCCCTTCAGTCAGGACTGCGACGCCACGCATCATGGCTGCCAACGGTAGGTGCTTGTCCCCGTCCAGCACGAGCAGCTTCATCGAGGTCGACAGCAGCTCGACTCCTGTCTCGTCATCTCTTCTACCTGAACTCCTTCCTAACAAATATGCTCCCCCAGGCCGATCGTCGCATTCTCCCGGCGCCATGCCGGCCTGGGACCCGGCTGCCCTGCTTCAACCCGGTCGCAGAGCCAACAGCGCCGTTGACCTCAGACGAGCGGGCTCTAGCCGGCCCCCTGCTGGACTGCGCCAGGTCCCCAATCACCGCTCTCACAGCCGCGCCAGCAGCCCCATGGTTTTTCAATTTGCCAATGTCGACGATTCTTCTGCCGACGACCCGCCCAGTGGGCCCGCCACCCCTGGTGCCAGCGCTCCGCAAAGAGCAAACGGTGTTGGCGGCTGGATTGAGCGCATGAACAATGTCCAGAGCCGCTCTACCGCTCCACAGGCCAAACGCCGCAAGACAGAGGACGGGCAGGACTTCGCGGCCAAGTCCAGCAACATTCCCGTGCGCGGCGGCAGCGGCGTGCTCGGCGATTACATCAAAGACAAGCGGAACGAGGCTGACGGCCCGGGACTTCAGCAGACCCTGACCGTGGACCTGACTGGTGGTAGGACTTGCTCTGATGGACCGCTTTGGTAGACTGTCTTTTGCTAACCCCGACAGGCAACGATGAAGACGACGTCACAATCATCAATGACCCTAAAGACGAAGAGGTCTGCTACGGCATGGTCAAGAGTGGCCTCAACTGCACAAAAGTTCCTTCGCCGAAACCTGGAACGCAGAGCCTCTGGGGACCTGGCTATCACCCGGCAATCAAGATCCTGCTCAAGCGGCAGGTGGGCGACAGCTCACTCAAGATACACGCCTCCGATCACACTCGGGAGATCATTGGGGCTGTCGAACCCAAGAGTGCCGCGGCTTTCTGTCCTCTTTTGGACACCAACATTCGCTTGAGAACAGAATGTCGGATTCCGCCCCAACACAAGACGCCCGGCGAAGAACCGGGTCAGCCGACCTCGCGCGCATACGTCTTGGATGTGGTCATGTACGGCCCAATTCGATACGCAAGAAGCGTCGGTGCTCTGCTTCAGAAGCACAACCTGAAGTTTCTCGCGCCATATATCGTGCAAAAGGGTGTCAGGGTCCACAATCCCCACAATGTCGAGTTTCGGCCGCCACCGCCAAAGACATACCCCACGGATCCCCACGGCTCGTTCGCCAGCGCAGCCAACAGGACGGTCGAGGAGATACGTTCCGAGGTCATGGGCGTTTTCGACTCTCTCAAGCGGAACGATGACCTCCCTGGCATGGACCCAGACCCTTGCGTCACAACGCCTCTGCTTAAGCATCAGAGGCAAGGACTGTACTTTATGGCAATGAGAGAGAGGCCACTCCAGGAGCAGGCAAAGGAAGACGCCTTGGTGTCTTTCTGGCAGATCAAATTCAACGCCAGCGGCCAGCGCATGTACTCCAACGTCATTACCGGGCAGGAGCAGAGAACTGCGCCGCCAGAGACGCGTGGGGGAATCTTGGCCGACATGATGGGACTGGGAAAAACCCTCAGCATACTGTCTCTCATTGCAAGCACCGCTGGCGACGCCCGCAGCTGGGAGCTTCTTGAGCCAGTTCAGCGTCCCGCTGTGGAAAACAAACCGAACAAGAGTGATGGGTTGGCGATGCACCAGCCTAGTTTCGACCCCACGCCCGTGACGCGCCAGGCCAAGTCGACCTTGATCGTTTGCCCGCTGAGCACTGTCACAAACTGGGAAGAACAAATCAAGCAGCACATCCGACCGGGGGCCCTCTCGTATCATGTATACCATGGCTCAAACCGGATCAAGGACGCGGCCAGGCTAGCTGCCTTTGACATTGTCATCACCACGTATGGTTCCGTCTCAAACGAGCTCAGCTCTCGCCGTAAGCGCAAGGATGGGCTTTACCCCTTGGAAGAGGTCGGTTGGTTCCGAATCGTGCTCGACGAGGCACACATGATCCGCGAACAGTCGACGCTCCAATTCAAGGCCATGTGTCGCCTTCAGGCCGAACGGCGATGGGCCGTTACGGGCACACCGGTGCAAAACAGGCTGGACGATCTGGCAGCGCTCCTAAGCTTTCTCCGCCTGCATCCCTTCGACGAACGACTCAAGTTCAATCGCTATGTTGTGGAGCCGTTCAAGGCGTGCGATCCTGAAATCGTGCTGAAACTCCGCGTCCTTGTCGACACAGTCACTCTGCGGCGATTGAAAGATAAGATCGACCTACCTCCGCGGGAAGATCTGGTTGTCAGGCTCGACTTCAGTCCCGACGAGCGGGCAATCTACGATCTCTTTGCGAGAAACGCTCAGGATCGAGTCAAGATCCTCGCCGGTGCCAACGTCGGCAAGGCCCTTGGAGGCAATACGTATATTCACATCCTCAAGGCCATTTTGCGGCTCCGTTTGCTCTGCGCCCATGGAAAAGACCTCCTGAACGAGGAAGATCTTGCTGCCCTCCGGGGCATGTCAGCTGACATGGCAATCGACCTGGACGACGACGACAATGACGGACCCGTCTTGTCGCATCAAAAGGCGCATGAAATGTTTGCCCTCATGCAAGACACGAACAACGACGCATGCATAGATTGCAGCAAAAAGCTCAACTCTGGCGAGGCGCAGAACATGGACTCGGACGGCCAAGAGGACATCCTCGGCTACATGACTCCGTGCTTCCACGTGGTTTGCCGCGCATGCGCCAAGAACTATCAAGACCGGGCCAGGGCAATGCTGCAACCGGGCCATTCCTCTGTCCCCTGCCCCGTGTGCAACTCGATCATTCGCATCGAGCTCGTCGAGCTTCGTCGCGAAGACGTCGACGCCGAACACGAAGGGCCTGCCAAAGCCAAGGCCAGGGCTGCTCGGAAGAAGATGGACAAGTACGATGGCCCTCATACGAAGACGAAGGCGCTCGTGGGAGATTTGTTGAAGTCCAAGGCTGCAAGTGAGGCGAATCCCTCGGAGCCACCGTTCAAATCTGTCGTCTTTTCGGGATGGACCTCTCATCTGGACTTGATCGAGGTGGCCCTCAACGCCACGGGCATTTCGTTTGCTCGGCTGGACGGCAGCATGACGCGTACAGCGCGCACCGCCGCAATGGACAGCTTCCGCGAGGACAACAAGGTGGAAGTACTGCTGGTCTCCATCATGGCTGGCGGTGTAGGCCTCAACTTGACTGCGGCCAACAGCGTTTATGTCATGGAGCCGCAGTACAACCCCGCCGCGGAGGCGCAGGCGGTTGATCGTGTCCACCGGCTCGGACAGACTCGGCCGGTACGCACGGTCCGGTTCATCATGCGGGACAGCTTCGAGGAGAAGATGCTGCAACTCCAGGAGAAGAAGATGAAGCTGGCCAGTCTCAGCATGGACGGGAGCAGGAGGCTAGACAAGGCAGAGGCCGCGAGGCAGAAACTGATGGATCTACGCAGCCTTTTCAAGTAGATTCCTGCTTGGTTGCATCATCATTGGGCTCCGCTGGTGGAGGGAAAAAAGGTGACGAAGAAAGATTCGAGGACACCGGAGATGTGTCACTTTGCTTGGTAAGGCGTTTCAAGGCGGCATAGTGGCGTCAAGGCTATACATACCGATACACCGGGGTGGAACTTTCTCCCGCATCGCTGGGTATTTTTAGGGGAAGGGAGGGCGTCTTTACTGCAGATACGGAGCATTAGCAGGCTACATTTGGTGGCACGTCTCGTTTGGAACAGCGTGCTTTTCTGCATGAAGTAGCCGAGGATGAATCGGATGACGAAACGGCTCTCGTCTTGTCTGCCTTTATCAAATGCAACGGATATAAACTCGCGCCTTGTTTTCCCTTGGGCCCTGCAGGTGTGCATTTTACCGCTACGTCAACAAATGGTATCTACCTTGTAAGAGGAAAGGAGAGAGGTCTTATGAAGGGTGACATGATATCTGATCAGGCTCACGCCTCGTTGCTCAACGCCGGTATCAACCATCCCCCCAAGGGGCGCAAGGGACGATCTCATTGCCCATCAGCCCGCAGCCGCAGCAGCAGTAATTGGCTCCCCCGAATCATTCACACAACAGCGCTTTGCCCCCGGGCCGTCAAGCGACCTCCTCGTCGGTCCTCAGCCCCGCATACTCGGTGCCCTGGTTGGCGGTGCTGAGGCGCGCGCAGAGGCTGAGCAGCACCACCGTCTCGGTGGCGGCGTAGTGGTTGAGGGCGTCGAGCAGGATCTGGAGGTGCCTGCTAAAGTTGCTCTCCCACTTGCGGATAATCTCCGAGAGATTGCCGACGCGGGCGTCGACGTCGCCGGGGGGCGGCGAGTCGTGGCGCGACGACGAGGCCGAGGCGCGCGGCGCGGCGCGCGAGGCCTGGAAGCGCCGCCACTGGTCGGCCGTCATGGTGCTGGGCCTGGTGGCGCCCGACAGGTCCGGGTCCGACTTTTCGAGCTCGCGCGTGAGCCAGTTCGTGTAGGCGGCGAAGATGGTGCATGTCTGCATGAGCTTGGAGTGGATCTAGGGACGTCGGCCGTTAGCAGAGGGCTCCGTCAAGGACAAGGGGCAGAGGGAAAGAAAGGTACCCTTAGGAGCTTGCTGTTGGTCAGCATGCACTCCTTGAGGCAGGTATCCAGAAAGTCGACGTGGTCCTGCATCAGCTCATCCACGGTCCTCATCAGGCCGGGCTTCTTCTCCTGGTCCCCGTCCCCCGGCTGCAGCCGCGTCATGAACTTTGTCCAGTTGGGCTCAATGACCTCTGCCGTGCAAAAGTACAGGAGCTGCTGCACAAAGACGAGCATCCTCGCCCGGAGCGTCCACGCGCGCCGCTTCCAGATCTCGAGCGCGCGGTTGGACCCCTTGTGGGCCCAGCTGACGCCCCGCGTCTGCGTCTGCCACGTCGCCGACAGCTGCGACTCGAGGTAGCGCAGGGAGAGGAGGTAGCGGAAGAGCGCCTGGTAGCGCCAGACGGTCTTGCGGCTGATGACGAGCGAGACGGGGAAGGGGACTGCGTAGTCGAGCTGCAGCGATGTGAAGCCGGTGGCGTTCTTGTCGTTTTCCGTCGGCTGGTTCGACGAGAGAGGCTGCAGCGCCTCGCCTTGCTCGATGCCCGTGATGTTGACGACCCGCTGCAGAGACTTGATCAGGGTGACTTCGTTCATCTCCACCTTGACGTCCTCTTTGAAGGGGTCCAACGACACAATACTGCCGGGCTGGCGCAGGACCAGGTCCAGAAGAGACTGCAGCTTCCCCGTGTTGACCGACTTGACCGGTTTGCGCAGCTCAGAAGAGCCCAACTCGAGAAAATAGGAGAAGTAGTCGGAGGGATCGAGGAAGAAGTAGTGCTTCATCGATTGCAGCCTCGCGGGAAGCGCATGTGTTGTCAGCAGGAGCTGCATCAGCGACTCGTTGGCATGCGCGTATGCGTTGTTGACGTTGTCCAAGAAGTGGCTGTCGTCGAACGAGGTCGGGACATCGGCCACGACTTTGCTCACGTCGACGCCGCCGCATTCACGAACCACGTTGAGGTACTTGCCAGCCAACAGGACCTTGTCCTTGACGCCGTCGAGCTGCGGCGGGACATCGTGGTCGCGAATCGTATATCGCCTCTCCCAGTACTCGTCCGTGTAATCCTGCTCCAGCCTCTCGCGCCTGATGCTCTTTTGCTCCTTGATGAGGAATTCCGAGTTGGGGTCATTGATGGCGCCGTGGTGCAGCCATTCGTTCAACATAACCATGTACGGACGGCTTGCATCTCGTAGCAGCGAGGTGAGAAGAGCCCTCGCGGCAGGATCCCCAGACATGGTCTCCAGCCGCTTCGTCAATATACCGAGAACGACTCCGCCTTTGCAAATCTTTTTGCCCGTCATGTTCCCGGACAAGAGGTCGCCTCCATCCGTCAACCTCTCGATGACCTTGTCGTAGTCGTCTTCACTTTCGTCGTCATCCTCTTCGCTTTCGTCGTCGAGCAAGGCGTTCCTCTTGAGGAGCTCCTGAGCGAGCGAGTAGAGCTGGAGCATCATCTGGCTCGTCGAGATGGTCTGTATATTGAGTACGTGGATGGTAAACGTGTCGCTGGTGAGAAACTGCGTCTCCAGCTGGGCAATCATAATGAGGTAGTCCTGCAAGAACCTGCGGACAGAGGCACACAGCGCATGGTTGACGGCGCCGAAATCCTCGCGGCTTTGCACGTCCCCAAAGGCCACGAGGGCAGAGTAGTAGGTTGCCATTTTAAGCATCGACTTTGTCAAGTCGTGCAAGCTCGGGTCGAGTCCCGGCAATATCCTGAAGCTCGGGCCAGAGAGACGATCGCGCTCTTCGCTGGAGTCGAACCCCTTGGCGTACCGGATGTATTGGCCTTCATAACCCATGAAGACGAAGAGCAAGTCTTCCACTATGGCTGCTTCCTGCACTTCGAGCGACAGTTCACCCAGGGGTGTCGGCTGGGGCGCCTGCGGGACCGTAGAAGCGAGCGGCGGAATCGACACTCTTGAGGCCAACGGGGCGGAAGTGCGTGGGAGCAAAGTCACCTCTGGATTCCACGGAGCTTTCCCCAGCGTCAATCACAGGCTATGAAAGGCTTGGGGGAAGAGAAGCAGTGCGTCATACCTTGGGGAGGTTCCGTGGCCGGTTCCTTGGGCCGCCATTCCGAAGACTTTTGCCGACGCAACCCAGACGGCCTCTTATCCACGGGCACAGTGCGTCGCTGCGGCTTCTCAGGGCTCGTCGTGCGCACCCTCTCGACGTGCGCCTCGTACGTCCGCTCAGTGACGCGGCGCTCCTCGTACCGTCGTTCGTCGGCGGGCTGGGTCGCCGAGCGCGGATTCCCCGACGCACTTCTTTTGTGCGCCGTCCCCGTTGCCGAGGAGTGAGCACCACCGGGCTGGGAGGAGGAGGACGGGCCGCCCTTGGCATCGGTGCGCTCGCTCCTGAAGCTGGTATTGGCGCCCGAAAGTCTGGATCGCTCGTCACCGTATCCGTTTGCGCGACTGGGTGCTCTTGTTCCGCCCGAGGACATGATGCCGGGCTACATCTGAGCCGCCCCGCGCAGTCCAGTGACCATGTGTTTTCGTTCGACCGGGTTCAGGGTGACGCGGCGGGAGAGTCCGACATGCCCAGGTTTGTCTGATGCGGTTGAGACGCGCTTCATTCGAGCAAAGTACCTTGTACCCTCGAGCAGTACCTGAGCAGTACCTAAAGGCTTCACGCCTTTCCCCCGGATCAACTCTCGGTCCGGTTCGAGCAGGCGCCCTGGTGACGCCAACTGGGCAGGTCCCTCCCTCCGCCGTGCGGCAGCTTAGCGCAGCTGCGTAGGCTCGGTGCTTGCCTGGCAAAGCTTCCAATCCAACCACGCTCCCCCCGGACTACATACGAACAACCCCCATCTCACCCGCCTCCAACACTCGCCTCCTTCATGCCAGCGCTGCCTCGCCTTTAGGCCAATCCACACCCAAGGGGGCAGAACCGCCAAAATGTTCATGGCAAGATCCGAATACGGCAAGCTCCCGCCTCACCACCTGCTGCCTGCCTCCTCCCACTGACCCTCCGTTGCCAGACCGGGGCATCAACACCTTTTCCCCCGAGGGTCGTCTCTTCCAGGTCGAGTACTCCCTCGAGGCCATCAAGCTCGGCTCCACCGCCATTGGCGTTGCCACCTCCGACGGCGTCGTCCTCGGCGTCGAGAAGCGCGTCACCTCCACCCTCCTCGAGACCTCGTCCGTCGAAAAGATTGTCGAGATCGACCGCCACATCGGCTGCGCCATGTCAGGCCTCCAGGCAGATGCCCGGTCCATGGTCGAGCACGCCCGTGTTGAGTGTCAAAGCCACGCCTTCAACTACAACGAGCCCCTCGGCGTTGAGAGCTGTACCCAGGCCATCTGCGACCTTGCCCTGCGCTTCGGCGAGGGCGCCGACGGCGAAGAGACTATCATGAGCAGGCCCTTTGGCGTCGCCCTGCTCATTGCTGGCTTCGACGAGCAAGGGCCCCAACTCTTCCACGCCGAGCCCAGTGGCACCTTTTATCGATACGATGCCAAGGCCATTGGCTCAGGCTCCGAGGGGGCCCAGGCAGAGCTGCAAAACGAGTATCACAAGGTACGCCGACTCATTTCGACCTTCAGCGGATTCCGTCGCGGCTAATCACCCACAGTCCCTCACCATTACCGACGCCGAGACTCTGGTCTTGAAGACGCTCAAGCAGGTCATGGAGGAGAAGCTGGATGCAAAGAACGTACAGTTGGCCAGCGTCACCAAAGACAAGGGCTTTAGGATATACACTGATGAGGACATGGCCGCCGTCGTCGAGCGGCTGCCTGCCAACTGAGCTGGCGCCGCCACATAACTGCCCACAATAGACCTGTCAAATCCTTCCTACTTTCGCTCCCTCACACTGACGGAGCCCCTACGCTGTCGGGAACGCAGTACTGTACATGTTTGGCCTGGGATGCCACCAGGGGCGGTGCCCATCTTGGAACGCGCCCCATGGTATCTGCGTGTCGCCTAGTTCGTCAAATAAGAATACCGTGACAGAGTTGATGCGCCTCCAAATGCCCAAGGATTAGTAACTGGCTTTGCCCCGGGGACGCCCGACGCTCTTGATACCCCAAACTAGACACCTGCCCGCCGCATCCCTTCATCCCGTTCAACTATCATCCTCAAGGTGGATGCGATCCAAGTCGCCCTCCACCCCCAGCAACCCAAAGGCCAGGTCCGTCTGCTCCGATCTGACGAGCGTCAGCCGCCTCTCCTCCCCTTGATTATGCTGAGAAATCCTCTCGTCGAGGCGGCGAGGCAACAGCCACACCGAGACGGGGACATCTTCAAGATGCTCCGGCCGTTTGTACTCGGGGCCGTGCCCAAGCTGGAAGGCCTTGAGCCAGGCCGACTCACACCCGACGGCAATCTTCATCGCAGACTGCCACCCGGTAAGCCGCGAAATGTCATGCATGCGCTGAATGACCCAGCATCGTTGATCGTTGTTTTGGAACTGTGAAGCCTGTGTGAGCAAGGCTTCCTCGTGCTGCCAAGGGCAAAGGGGAGAGTGGTGTCGCTATCGTACCTGCACAGCTGCCACGAAAAGGCAAAAGGAGCTCTCAATAAACGCTGCTGCGAGCGTGGTACTGACGTCGGGCATTCGCGAGCAGTCGTCTGCTAGCCCGGCGGCGATGCGGCCAATGTGGATCGCATAGCCGGCGGTTGAAGGCGCGGCTACCTGAGCTGCCTGCATTGCTGCCGGCGGCATGTTGGGACGGCTTCGATAGAGGTGGATCAGGCCCATGTAGTAGTTCATCCAGATGCCTGCCACCGAATAAGTGCGGTAATGCAGGGCTGACCCAAATGGCGTCTCTCTTTGATCCGTGTACTCGCTTTTCAGGGCCTGGAATTGAGGGCCTAGGTGGCTCTCCAGGGCTTCGAATCCTTGCCTGATACTCTCCCACTCCTGCTCGGCGGCTTCTAGACTCTGGAGAGCGTCGGAATCGTCGTTCGAATCTGTCTGTGGAGAGTGGCCCATCGGGGGACTGAAGCCGAACGGGACACGGAAGTTGCCATGGGTTGGCACAATGCCCGGGAACTGGGGTGGCGAGCATGCGCCAGCGTTTGCGCTCTGAGTCCGGTTCGCTTTGCGTTTTCTGGCCAAATCTCTGGCAGTGAAGTTTGCTAGACGACCAAGCAAAAGAATCAAGTGGTCGTAAGTTCCGTAACTGTATCCAGTCAGCCCAGGAAGCGAAACTTGTCGGCAACGGAGCCGCAGGCTACTAACACGGCGTGTATGTTGGAAAAGGGAGCCCGTGGAGGGCATTGCGTCCAGGCCTCGTATCCCATGCTGTGGACTGTCAGCCAAGTCAGCCGGCAGGCGCCCCAGCTCTGAACATACAAAAGTTTCGTTCCTCCCAATATGCTCTGGTACACGTCCATCTTGCCGTACCACCAGAATAGGTCGCGAAGGATGTCGTAATCGTCGAGGTCCTTGTCAGTCACATAAAGACATCGCTCGTCGAGAGGCTGGCCCTCTCCCAAGCCGTAGTCCTCGGCCGACACACGCATCCCGGTGATTGTGCTCAGCAATTGGTAGTCGACGTCCTTTCCCGGACCACCAGTGGACAGCCACCTTATTTTCTTTGCCGGCAGGTAGAGTCTCGACATGTCTCTGAGGGCGATTTCACGAAACAGGAGTCGGGCTCCGAAGAGGTGGCTGCACCACTTTGTGTGATCCGACGACCACACTTCGAAGTAGGCGAGCAAAAGTGTTGCGGCCAAAGTCGACAGTTTGGTTCTTCCCAGAGGCGTCTTGACATTCTTGGCTATCCTGCGTATCGACAAGTGGTAGTGCTTCAGAGCCTCCGTCGCTGGAGTTCCCTGGAGCTTGGCTATCTGCAGGCTTGCGATGGCCATGATGGCGTGAAGCAGCCCTGGGTGATTCCAGGCAAGGACAGGGAACTTGTCTACGCGATCGGCTCGTGGTTAGTCACTGGCGACACCGAGACGTGGAGACTTGGACAGGCAGCCTTACAGCTGAACAGGTAATTTCCCAGCTCCGCGTTCGCGTCAAATTGGCCCGGCTCGTCGGTTTGGGAGCAATCCCTGTCGTATAGAGACATTGACGGGCCGGTAACGGTGACGAAGTGCCTGAAGATGGTTCGCATCGCCTGGCTTTGAAGCTCAGAGTTTGGCGCGTAGCTCATGTACTCGTACAAGGCCTGCTCCTGGGCGAATGCTGAAAAAGTTCTGACTTGAGTCCCATCCCTAGGATATGGCCAAGCCATGTGAAAGGACGCGGAGGCCATCAGGGCCTGCGGGTCCGGCTGTTCGTCGTCGGACTCGGCCAGGTCGCCGTCGTCGTCCGAAGGTAGGCCATGGAAATCGTTCTCCTGGGAATGTAAGAAGCCGTTGGAAGGCTGGGCAAAGGCCGCAGGATCAATGGCATGGGGACGGTTTGCGCTGGAGGGTCCTTGACCAAGGTTCAGATGATGGTGGGTATACCCATACTGCGGGCCAGAACCGAAAGGGCCCTGCTCGTGATCAGACGGGAAATTCAGAGGCAAGAGTGGGTTTGGCAACGAGGGGTACCCTCCGGGTGGCAGCTGTCCGTGGGTGAAGCTGGTGATGTGGTGCTGGTGCTGAGGAGACACCAGCTGAGGCTGGCCGAAGTCGAAAGGTGAGGGCTTTGGCGCGATTGCTTGCAAAGGCATCGGGACAGGGGGTCTCGCTTGGTGGGAGGCCAAGGGATCGCCGAGATACGGGGCGTTGGCGGCATAGAGGGCGGGTGCAAAATGGCCCTGCTGTGCGCCCATGGGGTCTTTGAAGACGACTCTCTGGTTGTAGCCTTCGCATTCGCGCTTTGACTTGATGCAGTTCTTGCATCTCGGCTTATTTTCGTCACACTTGATGCGCCGCTTGCGACAGGCTTGGGCGGCGAAGTCAGTCATGTCTGGACAAGGACGGCTTGGCGGAATGACCGTCGGGCCAACTCACTCAGGCAGCCTGTCTTGGTCCTCTTCTTGACAGCCGGCTTCTTGCCTTTGAAGTCGATCCTGTCATCCACGTGGTGATGAACAGACATGTGCTGCTCGGGATGGCCTGCGTTGACGTCGTTTTCCATGGTTCCTCTCGCGCCGCGGCAGACTTTGAGGACAGGATGATGACACGACCGCAGCTCGACGGGGCTCCTTGCTCGGGAGGACGGGGTTCGAAGTCGATGAGGTTTACATGATGCGGTCGATCCAAAACTTGCTGTCGGAAAACTTGGTTCCAATATGGTGACTGACGAGTCGTCGACAGGACGAGGCGGACGTGCTTGGGCGAGAATAAACGGTGACGGTCGAAAGAGGGCACGGCCAAGAATGCGACGCTAAGCTGCTTGGCGGGCGACGCGGATGGCAGGAGGGTCGCCGCGACAAGGAAGAAGGACAGAGGGCATCAATGGACGGTCAACGGTGACAGGGACGTTGGGACGGAGTGAAACATGGCCCGTGTAACTCAAAAGGCCGGCCACGAGCTAGCAGGCTGTTATGCCCATCAGAGAAGCTGGCTCTTGTCAAGGACACGGACTGGCCGCAAGGAGGAGCACTCTGCCTCTGTCGCCGCGTGCGTTGTCGTTCTTCCTCCCTCCGCTCCGTGTCTGCCTTGCACTGTCGGGAAACGCACTGTCGGGAAACGCACTGTCAGGCAGCTTACTCTGACACGCGCTCTGGCTGCCTTGATATTCGCAGCAGGCGAAGGCGAAAGCCGTGTGAGGTCGGAGCTGGATCAGGCCGTTGCCGATGGTGGCGGTAAAGTGGAGGTAGAAACAGCCGGCGGAGCTGGATATGAGCAAGCAATGAAGGCGCAGGAGAGAGCCAGTTGGCGCGTCGGAAAGGACCACGGAACCCTGACGATAGATGGGTAGGGATGCACGATGAAGCTCAACGGCAGGCCGAGTAAGGCTGAAGCTTGCAGTGGAGTGAGTGAGTCTGGCCGTGGGCTTTGATATGTGGCTCAGGAAGGTGGTGCGTGGCGACAGAGGGGGGTACGATAGCGACGAGGGAGAAGCCGAGCGCGAGAGAGGAAGAGGAGAGGAAGTATCACGGGAGATCGGGTATAGAAGTGAGGTGCGGGAGTGATGTGGTGAGAGGAGGTTAGGTGCGAGGTTCAAGTACACGGTGCAGCAGGTACCTGGCCGTGGGTGGCGGGTACCGACGAGGCCAAGTACCTGGGGGAGTAGGTACGGGGAAGGGACTGGGGAGGTGGATGGATGGAGAGGCCGGGGAGCTCAGCTGAAGACAAGGTAGGCCCGGGCCACGACCAAGTCAGGCAAGTGATGTAAGTGAAGGCCAAGGCAACGCACGCAGTTGGCCCTGGACAGGTACTCCGGGGCCGACGAAGAATCGTTCTATCTGTATACCACGGGCATTGACGGGGGCAGGATACCGATACCTTGCTGGCCATGTAGGTACATGTACATGGGTCGAAAAGACCAAGGTTGGATAGCAGGATGGGCCAGGTAGGCCTGCGGCTGCCTTGCCAGAGCGTGGGCGGGAGGGAAGGCACGACTTGGTACAGTACAATGGAGCTGGTTGGTCCCCGCGCTCGACGAGGGCTTGCACCTCAGGTAATGTAATGTAATGCAATGTCATGTCCGAAGTAATCACCCTGGCCTACCATCAGGAGTCAACGGTGCAGGGCGACTGTAAGGCTCCCCGGTAAGCCAGCCAAGGCACGGGTGCTGGCAGCACTGTACCGAGTACTGTGCATGCACCCACCTCTGCTCTGCACCTCTTGCACCCTCTGCACCTCTGCACCTCTGGGGACGCCCGTATCCGTCCCCCATCGGGACTCGACAAGACGGTGGATCGCCCGCTAGCCCGGCCTCAGCAGATGCCCGCTACCAGCCGACTGCACTGCCGAGCTGCGGGACGAGTCGCGAAGGATGCTCTGCCGCGTGCCGACCACTGGCAGGGCAGGCATGGCGAGTCGTCGGTTGGTGCAGTCGAGAGGCATCAGGTTGCGGTGTGAGGCACTGTACTTGATGCGCATCAGGTACCCGCCATCAGGCCGCCACCCAGTCGTCGCGGCAGGGCCTCCATGGGGGCAAAGGGAACCGCCTCGTTGACAAAATGGCGTGCTCTGTTTGCTGGAAACGCGTCTGATTTGCCGGCGCAGAAACGCCCCCCCGAGGTACCGCCACGGCCGCCACCACCGAGGATGTACATACACAGAGAGATGCATGCGCATGCCTCAGAACAGGCCCATCGTCGAGACCAGCTGCCCCGGGCGCTGTACTGTAAGTTATCTGAGCGTGTACTGTGTACTTGCACCACGGCCAACAAACAAGCGTCTTCTCATTGTCGGAGACACTTGTAACGGCTACCCCCTCCGCTCACTGGGCGTTGGCGCTTGCTCGAGGCAAACAACAAGCTCAGACTCGCTTCACGCGGCGGGCATACAGGACCGCACACGTGCGCTTACACTGCTGCAGCGCCTCCAGGTTCTGCACTCCAATTGACTCTTCTTTGGGTATCTGCTAAAAAAAAACCTGGCGGCTTTCCGAGCCTCTGCCTGCGCCGGGTGTGGGTTGTGGACCTTGCCCCCCTCGTCTCCGCCTAATAAGCACAGCGAGCGAGCGCTGATGTCATGTCTGCCACGGCGCGGCCCGGAGAACCTCGGGTATGCCCTTTACCGTATGGCCCCTGGCCCACACTCAGCAGCAGTAGCAGGAGGGCCTGGCCGCCAAACCCTCTATTACAACTACGTACCTAGGTATCTAGGGTTGCTACCAGGTACCACCTAATAAGTTAGCCCGCAATCGCAAGACAGCCGATCTGCACCGCTGCCGCTTGTGGAACGGAGTCTCGTCGTCGAGGTTTCTACAGTACACAGCGGTACATACGTACGGAGTCGACGTAGGGTGTTGTTGGCTTGGATGCAGTCCAGATCGGTATAGGCCCCCGTAATTTCCATTTCTCTGCCGTGTAAGCACCCGTAGCCTTTTCATGCTCCGGGCCTTGACATTCTGGTACCTACAGGACAGGCAAACTTCGCATCTTCGCCTGCATGACGTTGGTAAGTGCCGCCGAGATGAAAGCCTTCGCATGAGCCTCAGCCAGAGGATCTACTAGTCTCATCCAACTCCTCTGTTGATCGACTTGTTGGGGCAAGAGAAGTGGCTCGAGAGCGCTACCAGTCCATAATATCTCCAGACGGGCATATCATCCTCGTCGTCGACCTCAGCTCCCCATGCGGACAGCAGGACCTCGGAGTTGTTCTGGAAAGCACTCTTGCCTGGTTCCAATCTGCGTGGCGTCCGGGCGCACAGTATGTAATGCCGACCTACCTGCATCAGGGCATCGTTCTGCCCCCTCCACCTTTGTTGGGCCAACGGGCTGCGTTTCTGCCGCAGGGTCCTCCATACATACCTTTGTGTAGGGCCCTATGTGCCAAGAACAGCCAAAAATAAGAAAGCAATAACACGCAGTCTGCTTTCAGTCTAGTAGGTCGAGGTGGCAGACCCCAGGTCCGACGTGGACGAGCCAACCATGGCCCGGTGCGCCCAAGAGGGAGGTTGGGCGGCGCCCTGCCTCGTTCTCAGCCCAACTCAACGATCACCGCTGACACACAAGTCACCACGTCCCTACCTGGCAAGCCTCAGGGCCCTCCACACCACGGCCCCGACTTGGAGGCCGCAGCCAGAAAGATGTACGCGCCGTGCGACACAAACGCTGTGTTGCCCTCCACGAGATTCGTCTCTCCTCAGCAGCGAACCCTGCCGCTTGTGCGCATACGAGACGGCCATCGTGCTCCCGCCACAACCACTCCGTGTGTTGCCCTCGCTCCGGGACCCTGCCTCATCTCAATACCACGGCCATGCATAGGTGTACCTACACGGCATACTCATATATCGTTGACTCGCATGTATCTCGTGCGCACAGCCTGAACATGCGTCGGTCCGGGCTGAGAAGAGAGCAGTAGGCAGACAGGGCTTGCTCGAGCGCAGTGGTCGGGGCGGCCCGTCCAAAAGCCTTTGGATCCGTGCGTTGCTGCACCTCAGTTGCCCCACGGGCCGCGCGTGACGCTGCCCAAGGATGGATCCTTGTTTTTCTCGTCGATCGAGCTGGTGCTTCTGGATGACTGGCCCAAGACCCAAGACGACGGTCCAGACAGACGTGTTCCAAGATTCGCCGGGCAAGGGGTCAAGCCGACTTGCCCCGGTCCATCAGACGGCGTGGCTGTTGCGGCATCTCGTGCCAGCTCGTCTTGCAGCGCCGCCGGCATGCACACGATAATCTGCTGTCGGTGAATGAGCACCTAGCATGTCGGATGTGGGCAAGAACAAGAGTCTCTCTGGCTCCCTCTCGTGGTGCATGGTGCATGGCTGGCGCCGCTGCAGCTATCCAAAGTGTCACCAAGAGAGGCTCAAGACATGGTCGCTGAAGCCGAGAGCTGGGCTGCCGCAAGCGCCGGCGCCATCTGATGCGTTCCGAGGGATACACTTACCAGACCCGCGGATCCATCCATCCCAGGTGCTGCTGCTGACTTGCATGCCACGGGATCGGGCTGCTGCGGCCCTGGTGCTCACACAACCTGCCAAGATGGCAGCCGTGGCGAATGTATGTATCCGGCCGCGATGACAAAGCTTCGCGGCATTCGCCCTTTTTTCTCGTATCTAGATGCCCAGGCGGTTGACGAAAAGCGCTCGAGGATGCACTGCGCCCCCCGGGACAGGCCCGTTTGCCCAGATCGCTTCGCACAGGGGGCATCCGCTGACTGGACCGAGCAAACCCCCTGGAGCTCATTTCCTTCTCTTGGAGAGGGCCGGTAGCACCTCGATCTGCTCAGCACCATGTCACGAGTCCCCCTATCGAGCACCTGTTGCACTCGACCAAGTCCGCCGGCTGAGATGCGCGTCCTGACATCGTCGAAGCCACGGCCAACAGGCAAGTCGTCGGATGTCGTCAAAATGGCTCGGGGATATACATGCATACATGGAGGAGTGCCGGGTAGCAGCGAGGGTTCACCGATTCAGTCAGAGGAGCTGATTGCAACGCCGGCTGGAGAGAGACAAATCGATGGATCATTCGATTTGCGCGGCAACGCCAGCATGTGCGAGCTCAGGGAGCGCCGTGCACAGTATTGCACAAGTAGTTCCGTGACACGGTGCGTCCGGAATTGGGCTTCAGCTCCGCGAAAGCTTGTGCGAATTTCCTGAACGGTGTTCCAGAGGACGATATCGATAGCCAGACAATGGCGCACGGACCATGCCCAGAAGCGTCTCTGGCGTCTTGCTCATTTCAGTAGGTACCTAGGTAGATAAGGTAGGTACTATGACCCAAGGTACGTACCCCCCACCAACGATATTCTATCCGTAAAGCACCTTGGCGCGCATAAACTCGAAGAAAAAAAATCCATCGTGCCCTTCACCGAGCGACGCGCCCAAAAGCATCTCAAGCTCGCAAGCCTCTCCAAGTAAAAGACGCAGACATGTTTGCCGTTCCGGGCTGGTCGGTCTCCGCCGACGCCCTTCAGGCTGAGCAGGCGCCGTCGGCGGCGAGCAGGCCTACTGGCGCCAGCTCCAAGAAGCGCAAGAGAGCTGGCGGCGCATCGGCCACGGAGAGCGTGACAGCCTCCAACGTCATCGACCTCTACGAGGCCGTCGTCGAGGGCAGGGGGAAGACGGGCGACGGCGGGAAACGGGTCCGGGCTGCCAAGAAGCAGAGGGGAGACGCTGATGCTAAAAGGGGGGACAAGAAGGAGGTCAAGCGTGATGAGACGCGGTCAAGCGACAAGGACGGTGCCCAGCATGAGCTCAAGAATGAGGCCAAGGGCAAAAAGGACAAGAAGAAGCAAAAGCAGCGGGATGACAAGAAGCGACAGTCTCCTGCCCCCGGAAGAGAAGACGCGCAGGAGTCCAACAAGGCACCAGCTCCAAACACCGACACCGTCGCCAAGACAAGTCAACCACCAAAGCCCCCGAAACCAGCCAAACTCACTCCTCTGCAGGCGTCTATGAGAGAGAAGCTCATCTCGGCGCGGTTCCGCCATCTCAACGAGACCCTCTACACGCGGCCCTCGGGCGAGGCCTTTACGCTCTTTCAGGAATCCCCCGAGATGTTTGACGAGTATCACGAGGGCTTCCGGCGGCAGGTCAAGGTCTGGCCTGAGAACCCCGTCGACAGCCTCCTCGAGGACATTCGGGCCAGGGCGAGGATAAAGCCGCCCCACGGCAAGGGCAGGCCGGGCGCACCCCCAGCGCTGCGGGCGAGGACTCCGCTACCGCGGACGGCCGGGACCTGCATCATCGCCGACCTGGGTTGTGGCGATGCCCGGCTCGCAGAGTCGCTGCAGGCCGACAAAGCTAAGCTCCGGCTCGACGTCAGGAGCTACGACCTGCAAAGCCCCAGTCCGCTGGTGACCAAGGCCGACATTGCCAACCTGCCGCTCGAGGACGGGTCCGTCAACGTCGCCATCTTCTGCCTCGCCCTCATGGGCACCAATTGGCTCGACTTTGTCGAAGAGGCCTACCGCGTCCTCCACTGGAAGGGCGAGCTCTGGATCGCCGAGATCAAGAGCCGCTTCGGTCCTGTGCGCAAGAAAAACGCTCCCGTCGATCACAGCGTCGGCAACCGCAAGCGCGCCGTCGGGAAAAAGGCAAAGGGTGCGCGCGACGGAGAGGGCGACGCCGCTGACGGTGAGGACCTTGCCGTCGAGATTGACGGCGCCGAGGACCTCCGGCGCCAGACTGACGTCTCGGCCTTTGTCGAGGCCCTGAGGAAAAGGGGCTTTGTGTCGCACGGGGACCGCGGCGAGGCAGTCGACATGTCCAACAGGATGTTTGTCAAGATGCACTTCATCAAGGGCGCCGCGCCAACCAAGGGGAAGGGCGTCAAGCCACAGGAAGCGCCGAGGCCGACAAAGGGCGCTGCTCTTAAATGGACGGCCGACAAAAACGACGATGACGGCGAGAAAGAGGGCTCGGGGGAGGCGGCCATTCTCAAGCCCTGTGTGTACAAGATTCGCTGAGGCAGCGAGGTTTTAACTCGTCATTACTTTTGTCCAAGTAGCTAGTGTATACCCAAAAGCATGGCGGATAGACCCAGACAACGTAGATGACGAGTGAATTCCTGAAAGCACCTGGCGGAGGATGCGGTCACGACTATCTGCGCTGGGCGAGTCTTTCATCCTAAGACCCTGGACCAACTTTTGAGGGACACCTCTGTCCGATCCCCCACACGCCTCGGTCTTTCGTCTCTAGCTCATGAGAGCCCCTTTCCCCATTCCCCTGTAAGCCAAACCCGTATGCCATGCCGGCGATGACCCCATGCGCTGCGGCCCATGCTTAGAAGAAAATCAGGCTGGCGGCCACGTCTACGTTGTCCTCGGCGGCCTGGAGCGCCTGGACGGCCTGCTCCCTCGTAGCCCCCATGGCCACAAGGCTGTCGACGTGCGCCGCCGTCACGTTTGGCGTGGAGGGCGCAGGCTGGGCTTGAGGAGGCGGTGCCGACGCTCGAGGTTGGAGGCTGGGCGCTGGCTGAGAGGACGAAGGGTTAACTTGCGACTGCCGGGCCTGCTCGGGCGGCAAGACGACTCCCGACCGCTGGCCGATGGCGGTGCCATCCGGGCCAGGTATCGTGGGCTCCTGCGCCGCAGCAGCCTCCTCGTCCTTGGGGATGTCGGCCTCTCCGAGAAAGGGAACCTCTTCGCCCTGGATGATGAGCCGGTCGCGGGCCAAGTCGAGGGTGGCCTGATAGCGCTTCAGCATGTCCAGGCCAAGCAGCAAGTCGGTCGTCTTGCCCTCCATGACAGTGAAGCTGCAGGGCAAGTGCAGGCTGCCAATCTTTATCTGTGCCGAGTGGACGCGGCCAATGATGTTGGCGGTGCCGACGCCGCGGGCAACGCCGGCGAACCTCGTGTCAACGAGTCTCATGATACCGCATGCTTCGGCACAGGAGGGGGAGATGATGGTGGCCTGGGCTCCGGAGTCGACAAATGCCTTGACCTTGTGGCCGTTGACTTCGACGTTGACGTAGAGCATGTGAACCCTTCCAAAGACTGGGAAAGAAAAGAGAGCACAAGATTAGTCTGGCTGAAGCGAGTAGAAAGCGGCAATTGCCGTTGTCGTCTGCCTCACCTTCGGGATTATGCTCCATGGCATTCTGCAGGTTCTCCATGACGCGTTCCTGGCGTATCATGTCCTCAATCTTCCTCTGGTTCTCAATATTGAACGGGTCGTCATTGAGTCTCTCGATCTCGCGCTGCCTGTCGAGTCGTTCTCGCCGTTCGCGATCTTGGGCCTCATGCAGTATGCGGGCAAAGCGCGCGGGGTCTTCGACGGCAGCGGCGAGCTCGGGCTGTTGGCTCTGAAGCTGCTGCCTCAAGGCGGGGTTTCCAAGGACCTGGAGACGCACCAGCTCGGGGTCGTTGTCGCCGCCCTGCCGTCGCCGCGGTTGCGCGGGCTGTTGCTGCTGGGGGCGCTGGGCCTGTCCCGGAGCAGCGGTGGAGCCCCGGGTCTCTCGTACGTGGACTGCGAGCATGTCGCCGTCGGCAATCTGCAGCTGCTCCATGGTCTTTGAGTCGTCGGAGATCAGGCGGCCGTTGTGGTAGATGTGCTGGGAGGAGGGAGGGACGTTGGCATCGGCGTGGATGGACTCGCGCAGGGTGGAGATGGTCATGTCGGGAAAGATGTCAAGGCTCAGCAGACTGTCCTGGTCGCCGGCTTGTGGGTTGAATATGTTGAGGGTGATGCGCCTGCGGCGAGTGCTGGGTCAGTGCCTGAATGCTGGTCCATGAAGGAGACAAGAAGCTGTTGGAGACGAAGGCGACTCACATGGCTGCTCGCGCGGGGGCTTTGATTGACAGGCAGGTAGGTACAGTAGGTAGATGCAGAGGATGGGGAGAGGCGGAGGGGAATCGAGCGGGTCGAGCGCAAACAAGGCGCCGTTTGTCGAGCGGGCGGCGTGAAGGACGATGAAGAGAGCTTCTCGAATGCCGTTATCGTCAGGTACCGGCGTGCAGTGCTCGATGCGGTGCAGTGCAGAGCCTCAGAGGCATCGCTGGAGGGGCAGCTCAGAGGGTTGGGTGGTGACGACAGAGCTCTGGGTGCCTGTGGCTGCCTGCCATTGGATGGGTGCTGCCGGGCCCGGCGCCTCTGTGGCTGATTGGATGAGTGCCTGCTGTGGAGGCCTGCCTGCGTCCGCAAACACCAATCACAGCTCACAGTTTATATACAGTACCATGCAGTAATAGTTAGTTAGTTAACTACTGTACGGTACCGTCCTCGGTCACAAAGCATCGCCTTGAGTGAGGTTGAAGTTGATTTTATCATTTTATAATTACCTCTTCCTACGCAACAGTGCCTATTTTGTCCCCTTATCTCCAAGAGCCAGTCTTGAATCTTCTCTTGGCCATGCACAATCCTCAGCCTGTCACGGGGTATGATGGATTTACAGTGTCTGAGTGTGGCAGACAGCAGAAGCTCAGCCTACATTTGCTTGCAAAGCGTGAACCGCCCACCCCCTTCCCGTCGACAATAACCCCATAAGGTGACCCCAGTGCGGAAATCTTTTCAACCAATCGGTGTCTTGAGTATCCTCAGGCAAGTGGTCTGCTGACGGGATCAGCACTGGGTGTTGGACTGTTGGTCAACACCAGCCGGGAAGATGCCACAAAGTTGCTCGACTCTCTTGAATCCTTGATCGCACATCGTTTGCTACTTCTACATTCAATGCCTGGTCTTGTTCCACGATGCCGCACTCTTGTTATTTCGAAAGCGCCTGCTTCCAAGGTGCCGTGCTACAAGGCGATTCCTGCCCACCACAGGTCACAATCCCCTGTCCAAGTCCATCTCTTGACTGTCTCTACTTGGCCCCCTCTGCATCACCACATGAGTTTGCCCAACGGTGGCACACTAGCCGCCTGGTTGGACCCGCCAACTACCATGAGACTCTTGGCAAGGCCGTCGCACAAGGGCGTTCTTGAGCTACTTCAAGGCCTTGCGAGTGTTCCTACCAGGACATGTCCACGGGTACACCTTAAAGTCACTTGCCGCTTCCCTGAATCCGTTGACGAGGCATCTAGATTAAGTCTTGAGAGCGCCGTTGTGCTTGCCGAATCGGGGCAGAATGTGCCGCCTATAGGCCTCGTTTATAAGTCGGCTCGCTCGACTTCCCTCAGCACTCGCCGCTCAACTGCCAGCCTCGTATGTGCGATCCCAAACTCGCACCGCTCGTTGTCTCCATCGACCAATGACGGACTCTATGCCTATCTGTCGGAACCATGACTCCGCGACATGCCTAATAGGGCCGTGGCAGGATAGAAAGCAGAGCAATAGGCATGCGGCATGAGAGGCATGGAGCCGATGGCTGGCGCCCGCGGCACAAACGCGGTCGAGACGATTGGTGGGCCCGTTAATATAAATGATGTTTCCAGCGCGTCGATAATTTGTGTGCCGTGTCTGCATGTGCTATCCAGTCCGTCTGCAGCCTTCAATGAAGACACCATCTCCCACGAGAAATCCTCATCCAATCTTTCCTTGAAACTCGGCGATTAAATCCGTGGCGGGTAAGACTGCGCGAAGCTCGGCATTTGCCGGGGTCTACAAGGCAGGCGACGGTGCGTTTCGAGTGGCCATCTTTGCAAACTCTACAGAGGAGGGAAACAGTTCATGCGGGCTTGCTTGAAAACGAGCAGTCTTCTCGACAATCATTCACCTTACGGACGGTACGGTGGAAAGGAAGCCTACTTGCTAAGGCTGCACAAGACCTGTCTCGACGATGAGAAAATGTCGGACCTTCGGGCCAAGCGCAGACGGCAGGTTGGCCGCCTTGTGAGCCTGAAGGTCACCTGCGTCTCGATTCGCCAGCCATCTCTCGGTGCATTGAAATGTTTGCCGCGGGATTGAAGGGACTACTTGTCGCCATGGCCCGGGCTGGTCATAAAGGCCTAGCGACACGTCGATTTTCTGTGCCGCAGGCTCCGGTCGCGATTGAACGCAATGCCTTGAAAGCAAAATACACCGCTCGACCTCAGGGGTGCGTACGGAGCAGACGGCAAGACATCTCGGCTGAACTGTGCGACGGAGGAAAGGGGATCATGAACGCTGCGCCTGGCAAGGTTGGGATTTGTGTGCGGCTTCGATGCTGCCAGCCCCGCACAGCTGCTGACGTTTTGGTTGGTTCGGTTGGGAGCATTCCGTGTCGTACATCTACAGCAGAATTGCGAGGGCGGGTACATCCCACAGACTCACGATGCAGAGGTGGGTGGACATGCTCGCGTCAGGAAACTGCGCCCTTGACGGTTACTCGCCATTGGACAGGAGGATTTGCATTCACGCGCCAGTAAGCGCGCGCGTTGCCTGTGATTTTTACGCAGCGCCCAGGCTGTTCCCCGATGGAGCGGGGCTCCTGGCGGACCAATCAACCATTGGCAACGCCATCATCGCTTGTCTTCCCCCGAAATCTATTCTGCATGCCTGCACGACCAGACATAAAACGACAGTCTCACGCGCCTATATCCATCATGGCAAGCGCCCGAGGATGCTTGGTTCATCCGTCCGACCGACTCCTCCTGGCCGGCGCAAGCGTCGAGTCCCCTCTTGCTCGGGTTGGGACAAGAACCAGCCAGCTCAACCTTCATCCAAGAAGCAAGAGCTCCAACATCCAACATTCCCACCTGCGAGATTCTGGGACAATCTCTCCGAGATTCCTCTCACGCGAAACGCACTACGAGAGCTGGACCAAAGGAACACCAAAGTCTTTTGCGGCTCGGCACCCCCCCGAAACATTCCGAGGCGCACGCTCATTCGGGACGCCCATTTGTTTCCTGGCAAGTCTTCACCAGCTTATCTGAAGCGCTTTGCGAGGCACGGCGGCCCGGATTTGACAGGCCTGAGGGAGGTAAGTGAATATTGTGCGCCCATTGTGCCTGTATTGACAGCAAGCAGTGCCGGACACGAGCGGCGCCGCGAGATAAGATACAAGACGAGATGAGCTCCAGTCAGTCGAGTCTCGGGCGCCGGAAGAGGGGCTTGCAGTCACCGGAGAAAAGGGGTGGCCAATCTACGTCGAAAAGCAGTGCCCTGCCACAGACAACGAGCACGAGGAGCACGGGGCCATATGATCGTGCTTTCCAGCAACACCTCACCTGATCGACCACAATATCTTTGTTGATGGTTACGAGTATTCAGATGGTCGATTACCACCGGAGCCCGAGAACATGGACGAGATCCTTCGCGCATTGGCTCAGCCTAGGGCCTCACTGTCTCCAACTCGGTTCTCGAATGATGACTTCCGGAGGTTCAAACGAGCGGATACACATGCGCCTAAAGAGAGACAAGTTATGACAACTGTTATCCCGATTATCGAAGGAGATGTTGGTGATAGCAAATATGTTGGTGGCGAGGTACCCTTCACGAATCTCGACCCTTTAACCGACGGTACGCTCGTGCCAGGCAATCCCGATTTATATTACGGCGCGCGTCCCGAGCAGCTTGACCGGAGCATTCGTGGACAGCTGAGCGGCAGGATCATCCCTTCCACCCAACATGATCTACCTATCGCGCCAAACTTTTCTCTGCAAGTAAAGGGGCCTGATGGAAGTCTCTCAGTCGCATCTCGACAAGCGTGTTACGACGGTGCGCTAGGCGCGAGAGGGGTTCACAGCCTGCAGTCATACGGACGGTTAGAGCCACAATATGACAATAAGGCTTACACCTTCACTTCCACATATCACGGCGGCACCTTCAAGATGTTCACTAGTCATCCAATACCGCCATCCGCGCCTGGGGAGCAAATTGGGTTTGCCATAACACCAGTTAATTCCTGGAGCGTAACAGGGAACTATGAAGCATTCCGACAAGGCGCTGCTGCGTACCGTAATGGCAGGGACTGGGCTAAGCAACAAAGAAACCGAGCGATCGAGCAAGCGAACGAGAGAGCAGCTAGACACCAAGCCGCTGCGTCTCCTCAAGGTGGTGACTTGGGGTTGGGCTTGGCAAGTGAGGCGTCGGCTGGCGGTCCGACTGTCACCAGCCAAGAGACCGGCCTGAACCCCAGTTCCCATGCACCACCATCCCTTTGCGGGTCCGATACCTCCGAGGATGAACTATCACGAGATTTTCGACCGCCAGCCAAACGCACGTCACGTTCTCCGCAAAAGAAACACTAAGATATTGGCATAATTGAGCTTTCCTGGATGACTAGGTCAAGATATGTGCTGCTCACCCCTCTGATAGACCGTCCAGTGGCCTCGAGGAGGACGTGAGTGCCACAAGAGATGGGAGAAACCCAGGTTTGAGCTGTTCCGATAATGCTGTGGACGTTGGGAAGAACGACGCAGGTGGGGGGAGAAGACAGATGGGCTATTGCTCATGACCATGACCTCGGCTATCTGGGCTACTGCGCTGTCATGATCCCATTCGGCCTATTTCTGGGCCTTGTTTTCCTCCATTTTATCTTGACAAGCGTTTCCATCGCCTCACTCCTCGTCTCGTTTCCATCGACAAAATTCATCGACCTGGTTGGCCATAGGCTGGATGGACTCATCTGGAGGGCGAAAATTGGTGGTTCCCTTGTACTCAAGGTGGTAAGTTCCACCGCTTACCGGCGCCGTTACGGCCGTTCACTGACGAAGACAAAGTTATGGGACACATAGCCTCATGAGGAATCCCGATATTGGGCACTTTAACGAGATTGCCAAAATGATTTGCTGCTTCAAATGATGCAGTTTGCAGTTAAATATTATTCTAATTCTATTTGACTTAACCCTAAGCCTAAAAATATTCAACAATGCGCTATGCAAGATGCAAGCATTTTCTGACGAGGGGTTGTCATCGACAGCGGTTTCGGGATACACCAGGCGCTGTTGATTACACTAATGCGCTACAGACGAGAAAATGCTTTGGGTGGACGATAATTAGTGTTAAGAAGCTTTGCATAATTACTGCATTATAATTCTTGCCCCCTGCCTCTAATAGAAATAGACGGCAGTACCCGAGAAATATAACCGGCTAAGTCCTAAAGTATATACCTAAACATTAGTGCGGTCTTGCTGTAGGTGTCCTGTAACTCCAGTTGTATTTCTATTTTTTGGCTTGGATGGTTTTGCTTAGTCCCCCCTGCGGAACCAGAAGAACCTTGGGATCTTGTTAGACCTGGTTGATCTTATATTTCCCTGGCAAGCTGCGTGGTCCTCCTCTCTATACAGGCGACGACGCATAAAGCAGTGATGCCCCAGAGAACACATAACAATAATATCTTGACAAAATACGATAATATCACTGCCAGAAGTGGATTCAATCGCGTATTTCTCACTCAGTATTCACTATTCGATGTGTCCTTGCTCAGTGTTATGAAACGCAGAGACATAAGAGAAGCACTGTATACTACACACCTGCCGACCAAAGATGTTTAGTCTCCTTCCTGAGGCAAGTTGGGCATGTAATACTGTTGACAGTCTTCTTACCGTTAAAAGGTTCACACTTTTTTCTGCTTGTTTGTATGCAAAGATATAGTTAGATGCAACGCTGCAGAATGATGAATGCATAGGAAGAGAATGCCATACGTCAGGTGGTCAGGCTGTCATATTTAATAGGTATCCCATAAAGCAATGAGTACCGCTGCCCAGCTATCAAGAGTGCTCTTAACCAGAAAAATCGAGGTAGCCAAGCAGTTCCAGACCCCGCAGACGCAGTCAAAAGAGTTAGTGAACCAACTGTAAACTTCACACATCCCTCGATCTGCCCAGCCGTCATGATCCGTCTGTAATGCGCCTGCATAGTTTTTCTTGAGACCGAAATGATCTAGGAAAGCCTATAAACGAGAACATTAAGCAATGCAAAGTCAGTGTCATAGGATTCATATTGCTATGTGACTGATGTGAGGTACACCGGTCACGAGACCAGTAGAGAGAACGGTTGCAAACAGAAGTGCGGTGATATCGTGCCCATGCGTAAATCACTGATCAAGAGCAATTGAAAGAAACAGATAGCGAGTTGGACAAGAGTAATGAATAGGGGCTTGGTGATAACCGTTGCGAGGATCACCCAGCATGTTCGGAACCAAAAGGGCTATCAGCAAAGCTTCATTGATAACCCTTTCATGTCTACGTGCCCCTGTTACGTTCCAGATGCGCACACAACCCGGTTTGGGAACAACCTCGCCTTAATGCTAACGCCTCTGTTCACCACTTGACCCAGGTACTGTGGAGTCAATCGCGGAGAGCGTGACTTGGTGCGTTCGGATGAGGATTAAAAGTTGTCGGTTGACGGGTGACCATTGTATCGGCCGTTGTAGGTATCAGCGACTGATTTCAGGCGTGGTCATCAGTGCGGCGTGTTTGTGTATATAAGTGGAGGTTACAACACTCGACCTTCAGCGGCAGTGGCCAGCAAACTGCGAAATCGCTGCCGTCGCATTTACAGGCCGGGGCGGGCGCCCATGCATCCGCCTGTGTCGGCTGAAGAGTAATCATCCGCATCCAAGGCAGCCCGCTTCCTCGGCCTCCTCGATGGCCCTGACTTGGCAAGCCAACGGCGGAGATACTCCCTTTGCCTGTTTTGACAAGCCCGTCTAGACAGCACGGGCTTAGACGTACGGATGCGTTGAACCTCCCGTGTTGGTAGAGCTTCTAGCGCGTGTTGATATCAACCAACCAACTGCGTTACTTGCTCAACTCGCTCGCCTTGCGTGCGGTTCTCCCAGTTCAGATGTCGTGTGTCAAGGTACTTCTTGTTCATCTTTCAAGTTACCATGATGCCGACTTGCAAATACCAGACCTTGGACCTCCCGGCACTCTGGGACGCCCACTCCCTCGACTCGGGGACGGAACTGGGCCATCATGAGACTCGGTCAAAACTGTATCGAGTACACCCCCCCCGGGGCGGATCGAAGCATCTGGCCAACTTGAACCGGCGCAACTCTACGCAATTCAGCACCAATGCCCTCTATATCTCCCCGCGCGAGCCCGTTTGCATGACGCGTGCCAGCATTCTATAGACGCGGAAAGGAGGAGACATGACCTCTAGGATCTACATATCTCTGGCGTGCCTTCTAGTCCGTAGCCTTGTATTTCTGCCGATACTCTTCGGTCCGCCTCACGTCGTCGGCGGAAGCAAAGCTCTTCATGCCTTGAATGATGTCGTCTAACGTCAGTATTGCGAGTATCGGAATGCCGTACTCCCGTCTGAGTTCGCCAATGGCGCTGGGGCCAGGCTTGGTGTCGTCGCCGTCTGCTGCAGGGAGCTTCTCCATGCGATCTAGGGCCACGACGATACCCGCCACGATGCCGCCCTCGTTACGAATCTTTTCGATGGCGTCTCTCTTGGCGGTCCCGGCGGTGATGACGTCGTCGACAATGAGAACTCTCTTGCCCTTGAGGGGCGCTCCGACGATATTGCCGCCCTCGCCGTGGTCCTTGGCTTCCTTGCGGTCAAACGAGTAGGAGATTCTGTCGAGCTGCGCGGGGTCCAGCTCGCCTATCTTGATGGTGATGGCAGAGCAGAGAGGGATTCCCTTGTACGCAGGCCCGAACACTACGTCAAACTCGAGGCCGCCCTTGTGCTGCGCGTCGATGATGGTCTGGGCAAAGGCCGAGGAGATGGCTCCGGCGAGGCGCGCGGTGTGAAACTCGCCGGCGTTGAAGAAGTAGGGCGATAACCTCTTCGACTTGAGCTCGAAGCTGCCGAACTTGAGAACGCCCCCAGCAATGGCGGCCTTGAGGAAGTCCTGCTTGTACGCGGGCAACTGAGACGCCATCTTGGCTGCGCGTGTATCCGTCGGTATTCTAAGTGTCGCCAAGGAGAGGTGTGTGTGCAGAGGCTCTTGCCAAACGCACCAGTGCCCAGGATCGCCAGCAATAGCCAACGCTATAGACGGAATCAGACGTGATTAACCTTATAGTAAAGATCAAGAGAGCTTTCGTGGATGAATTTTCTCCCAATTGGGTGGGGTTAGATGCCGACATGATTCCTGACCCCTCACCCCTCCTTTCCAATCGTATCGATTGTAGCTTATCGATAACGGTTTCGCCAAAAATGCCTCCACCCAAGAAAAAAAAATCGATTCACCGCCCGGGCCCACCAGTCTTGGAATTCGCATCCTGAACTCGAGAGCGCTTGTGGTTGCATCCTCACCCACATCACCTCCCCAAACAAAGTCATCATCCACGATGAAGACTACGTGGAAGGATATCCCGCCGGTGCCGACGCAGCAGGAGTTCCTGGACATTGTCCTGAGCAGGACCCAGCGCAAGCTTCCGACTCAGATCCGCGCGGGCTTCAAAATCAGCAGAATCAGAGGTGGGAATCTTCCTCCGAATCGCAAGTGGCAAACTGCGACTGACCGCCCGCCTAGCATTTTACACGAGAAAGGTCAAGTTCACACAAGAGACCTTTTCGGACAAGTTTGGCGCAATCCTCGAGGGCTTTCCTCGCCTTCAGGACATACATCCTTTCCACAAGGATCTGCTCAACACCCTCTACGATGCCGACCATTTCCGCATTGCTCTCGGCCAGCTCTCGACGGCCAAGCATCTCGTCGAAACAATCTCACGTGACTATGTCCGTCTGCTCAAGTACGGCCAGTCCCTCTTCCAATGCAAGCAGCTCAAGAAGGCTGCCCTGGGCCGCATGGCCACCTTGGTCAAGCGCTTGAAGGACCCGCTTCTCTACCTCGACCAGGTCCGCCAGCATCTTGGCCGTCTGCCGTCCATTGACCCCAACACCCGCACGCTGCTCATCTGCGGATACCCCAACGTGGGCAAGTCGAGCTTCTTGCGCAGCATCACCCGGGCCGATGTCGATGTCCAGCCCTATGCCTTCACCACCAAGAGTCTGTTTGTGGGTCACTTCGACTACAAGTACCTGCGCTTCCAGGCGATCGATACTCCCGGTATCCTGGACCACCCGCTGGAGGAGATGAACACGATTGAGATGCAAAGGTGCGCCTGGTTGACCTGATATCGTCGTGGATGAAGCTGCTGACTCGGCATGGCAGTATCACTGCAATCGCTCACTTGCGCTCTGCCATACTTTACTTCATGGACCTGTCTGAGCAGTGCGGCTACTCTGTCCAAGCCCAGATCCAGCTCTTCAGGAGCATCAAGCCCCTGTTTTCGAACAAGCTTGTCTTCCTCGTCATCAACAAAATCGATGTCGCTCGGCCTGAAGATCTCAGTGCCGACGTGCAGGCCGAACTACAATCTCTGCTCAAGTCTGGCGAGGTCGAGATGCTCCAGCTGTCCTGCAACACGCAAGAGGGCGTGCAAGACGTCAAGAATGCGGCTTGCGATCGCCTCATTGCAGATCGGGTCAATCAGAAACTGAAAGCGGGCACCACAAACAACGGTGCTATAGGCGGACGCCTGGCGGATGTCATGGCTCGCATCCACGTGGCTCAGCCCATGGGCGGGCAAACACTCGAGACATTCATTCCCGAGGCCGTCAAGAACATGTCCAAGTACGACAAGAATGACCCCGAGCGCCGGAAACTGGCACGGGATGTCGAGGTTGAGCACGGCGGCGCGGGCGTTTACAATGTCGACATGCGCGCCGACTACCTCCTCGAAAACCCCGAATGGAAGTACGACAAGATCCCCGAGATCTTTGACGGAAAGAACGTTTACGACTTTGTCGACCCCGACATTGAGGCCAAGTTGCAGGAGTTGGAAGAGGAGGAGGAGAAGCTGGAGCAAGAGGGCTACTACGATTCTGATGAGGAAATCGACGACGACGACGAGGCCGACGTTTTGCGAAAGGCCGAGCTGATTCGCGAGAAGCAGCAGCTGATTCGCAACGAGGCGCACATGAAGAAGAGGTTGAAGAACCAGGCCATCATACCCCGCAAAGCAATGAAGAAGCCGTTCTCAGAGCTTGAAGATGCGCTCGATCAGCTGGGCGTCGACACAACCAACTTGGCTGAGAGGGCCCAGCCAAAGGCCCGCACCCGCGGCCGCTCCATGTCCAGGAGCCGTCTCGGCACCGAGGATGCCGACACCATGGATGTGGACAAGACTGCTCGGGACCGCATGCGCTCGCGGAGCAGAGCCCCGACCACCAACCGCAGGGATGACGGTGTGCAGAACGACGGGTTGCGGACAAAGGCCGAACGGCTAGCCAAGTTGAACCAGAAGAAGATGAACAGGATGGCGAGGCAAGGAGAGGCAGACAGGCACACCACGGCCTCCATCGCCAAGCACTTGGTGAGTTGTGAAAGAATCAAAGAAGCACGAGTGCCCTTGACTAACGTTTCCCTCAGTTTTCTGGCAAGCGCGGCATGGGCAAGACGACGCGACGATAAATACGAAGGGTCATGGATCGAGCGGTGCGCGTGTTTAAAAAGGGGATTGTTCTGTGCTGTTTCATTCCTTATGAGAAGTTACACCATCGTCACCGGTTTCCGTGGAGTTGGGCGTCGGCACTGTTGAATGTGATGTCGAGGCTGCCGACCCTGATAGGGGCCAATCAAGCGGCCGGCCCGGGGCGGCTGTACAAGACCATGCTATCCCCAGAAGAGAAGATGCTTTCCAGTGCCGTGGCCGTATCGTCTAGTGTTTGGCGTCCTATCCGTACTTGGCACGAGTCTATGCCGTGCGACCAGCCAGACGTGGCGGTGCTCTGCTCCTGCCAGTCGACAATGTTGGTGAGCAAAGCCCAACTCCAGCCAAGAGTTCACCAAGTCCACTGGCACCTTGGTCAACTGAGGCTGCCCTCGGGCTCTGCCACGGGCTCATGGGCAGGGGCAAGATGCAGATTGACCCTTGGAAGGATATATCGGCAAACAGGCGTCACCCTCGGAAGCTGTCGCCACTCGTCGACGGCTGAATCATCCCACACGGCAAACCTCAATTTGTCCTAGGAACCCAATGACGGCATCCGTTTCATGTGTCAGTGTCCTTGCTGCGAGCCTGACGAGTCAACTGTCGGATCCACCTTTGAAACGAACCTCCTCTCTCGGTCTCTCTAGGTCGACGACATTTTCCCGAGCTTCCCCGCTTGCAACTCAGCCCCGAACAAGGGAACGAGATGTTAAGAGAGGGCGCCCGTCAGTGTGGCCGAGAGGTCAGCAGCGGCCGTTCGGTGCAAATCCAACAGCCGTCCGCGTCGCCTCAACTCCTTTTTCCTCTCCACGGCACCGGCCTTTCCTTTCCTCTGCTTCTCTTTGGTTCTGTTTTATGAGATACGCCTTGATTGTCGTCCGTATTGTGATTTTGGCCGCGTTGAACGCGTTGACCCTTGGTCACCTTCATGAGTCGCATTCAGCACCCTCTTCCCTTCCTTTTTCTACTTTGCAATATGCAGTTTAAAAGCACCTTCACTTTTCTTTCCATCGTCGGGCTCGTGTCAGCTCTGGCCGTTGAGCGACGCCAAGGTGAGAGCGAGATGCTCACGTCCCTGGCTTTCAAGTCGGGGAAACATTCCCCTTCACGAGATGCCCCTTCCGTCACTCAGCCCTATGAGATATTGATCGATTCTGAGATTGAAAGCTTGAAGTCAATCTATTTCGCGCCCTCTCTGGAAACCACATAGAGAGCGCAAGGAACTCTGCTGATGAAACCCAGCAGCAAGCCCAGACGCGCAGTCCCCCGAGCAGTTCGAGGCGTTTGCCCAGTTCTCGTTTGCCTCGTACTGCCGGGAGCTGCACGATGGCAAGGTAGATACGGCCGTCTGCACGACGGACAAGCAGGGGACGCCGTGCGCGGGCTTCGGGGACGTCAAGACGACGGCCGAGTTCACCGGCGACGGCAAGAACGGCATCGGGGGCTACGTCGCCGTCGACAAGGCACAGGGCCGCATCGTCGTGGCGCTCAAGGGGACGGATAATATCAAGGAAATCGGGACCGACATTGCGATTGCTCAGGTCGATAGGTGAGTGTTTTTCGCTTTGAGTCTTCTTCTTCTTCGTCGTCGTCTCCTTTCACTGTTTGGTATGGCGACCGCTGATCAGCTCGAACGTTGCTCGTGCAAAGTGATCTCTGCGATGGTTGCAAGGTGCACGAGGGCTTCAACGAGGGCTTCAAGAGCGTCAAGGCCCAGCTGGAAACGGCCCTCAGGGCCGAGACGGACAAGCCGGGCCAGCAAGCCTACAGAGTCGTCGTGGCGGGCCACTCGCTCGGCGCGAGCGTGGCAATGCTCGCCGGCGCAAGCCTGCGGAAGCAAGGCGTCGCGCTCGACATGTATCTCTACGGCTGCCCCTTCGTCGGCAACGCCAAGTTTGCCGAATTCGTCGCTTCCCAGCCTGGCCTGACGGCTCGCATCACCAACAAGGACGACCTGGTGCCGGCCGTGCCCAAGCGCGGCATCCCGCCGCAGCAAACGTACGAGCACGTCTTCCCAGAGTTCTGGTACGAGCGCGGCCTCGCCCTGCCCGGCCTCTACCGGGCCGCGGGGCCGCGCGTGTGCCGGAGCGCCGCCGAGTGCACCAGCGCCGACTGCAGCAAGCCGCAAAACGGCCTGCTGCTCTCGGGCTGCAACCTGACGGATCACGGCCTCTACGCCGGGGGCGCCGGCTTTCGGCCTTGCGCCGGCGAGCCTGACGCCCTGGGCACGGCCTTGGCTTCCCTGAAAGGAGGTCGGCGGAGAGGAGCGGGCGGGTGATGGTGAGGATGACGGTGGTGACGTCGAATCATGAGGTGGTTTCGTTGTTGCTCAGCCAGCAAGGCAAGGGGTCGGACGAGGCGCGAGTCGGGACAGTCAAAGTACTAGAGTCTCATATGAGTACTATTATCTGTCCACCATGCTCACCTTGGCAAATAGCTCGTTAGTGTCTGCGATGCAGTTACTGGCAGCAAAGGTCATGAATAAGTTCTGCCGCGCACGAGACCGCGTCGGGAAACCAGGCCGACATTAGCCTGCGAGCCACACGGTGAGTTAATACTCTCCGATGTCATCCCGATGACAGGCACGACGAGTAGACCAAGGCTTGCCAAGATGCATCTACATGGAGCTCCATGGTCGTTTGCGTGCTCTCTTGCGTCAAACGAGTGAGTACCCGTACACAGGCGACGCGAAACCAAAGGAATTTCTTCATCCGCACCTCTGCGGTCGTGGAAACGCACATGCTCGATGCCCTCCTATTCACATACGCAACCTGTCTTAAACGGCGACAACATCCGTCACATTGCCTCACCGGGACCCTGCGCGCCTCGCCTTTCTCGCGCGGCTTATAGCTCCGTCGCGACAGTGATGCCCTCCCTCAGGCCCTCCACCTTAAGCTCCTCACCGGTGCAGCGATAGTAAATGTCCTTGACGTCGTCCGTCGTCGTCTCAAAGTGGCTGGTGGCGTCGTAGCTCTTGGATATGAAGATATTGTCCTTGGTGCCGTTTTCGAGGGGCTCGTACATGGGGATCGGCGGACCCTACCCAGCACGCAATGGTTAGCACTTTGAACAGGCACCCAGACGTCATGTGGCGCGGCCGAGGCCCCTGTACGCACCATGAACTGCTCCTCAACCTTGCCCAGGCGGTCCAGACCGGGCTGGAGCTCGAGATGATGGTTGGCCGACGACTCTGCAATGGTCGACACAATGGCGATCCAGTAGCCCTTGGGGCAGACGTTGTGCGCAGACGATACGCAGGCAATGTAAATGTCTGTGCTCGTTAGACACGGCTGGCTACTCAAAGGGGTGCTCCAGCCATGACGTACCGTTCTTGCGGCCAACCTGCGACTGGGGAATGATCAGCTGGCACGAGTCGCTGTCGCTGGTGCCGGCCAGGGGGTGCTTCAAGATACAGATGGCCCGCAGCACGTGGCCAATGACCTTTGTCTTGCTGGCAAAGTACGAAGGGTCGCCGAGAATCATCTTGGCCTTGGTCTCGAATTTCATGTCCTCGGCCCCCGTGCTCATGGTGGCTTTGATACCCACGGCCTTGTCGCCATCGTAGAGCAGCTCGTCGACGTTTGTGTTGAGCATATAGGTGCCACCGTAAATGGCAGAGAGGCGGGCAAACCCCTGGGGTAGCTCTCCGAGGCCGTACAGCGGGTAGATGTAGGGAGACTTGCCGTACCGGGCCACCGAGTTGCCGTATAGGCGAATGCGCTCAATGGCCTCGGGGGCCTGGCCCTTGGCCGTGATGTAGTCGTCGGTCAGGTACAGGCCCATGGCGTGGCCTATAAAGTCTTTGGTCGTGGTCTCGAGGCCAAACTTGTCGTAGACGTCCTTCATAGTGCACTGGTTGATATCGAGGCCTGGCGGTTTGGTCAGCACGTCCACGGTCCCCAGCAGCGCGCCACGACGGTGTTGACGAACCCTTGTGAATGGCCGGGTCCTTTTGGTCAAAAGAGCCAACCCACTCGATAAAGGACTTCATGCGCCGCTTCTCGAACAGGCCCATGAGAGGCGATTTGAGGGCCTCCGCAGCGTCCGATGGGACCTTTGCCACAGTGGCCTTGGGCCCGGCGCCTTGCTGCACGTAGCTACCGGCGACCTGCTTGAACTCGAGGTAGCGGGTGACATCGGTGGAGACGAGGATGTTGGTCAGCTCGCCTGAGGACATCAGGAACTTGGGGATGAGGTCGATGTTCCAGTCGTTGGGACGGCCGTATTGCTTCCACGGCTCCTCGCCCTTTTGGTAGTTGCCATATTTTTTGAAGAGCTGCGGATGGCGGTCGCGGTCAGAAACCGAGACGAAGGCAGTTTGGGGTGCGGTGGAGCATATTTACCGTCTCGAGGTTGACAGATGCTGCCTCTCTGTGGTTTGGGACGAGCGGTCAGCGGATGGGGACAGGGAGTGGAAAGGGGGGGATTTTGGTACGCCCAGAAATGCCAATGAGTGGCATTCGTGCCGGGAACTCACCCTCCGTAGTGATCGTTGCGGTCAATGTGCAAGACCTTTCTGCCCTTGACGCTCAGGACACTGGCAGCAGAAGAGACCATCAGCTTTCAGCCCTATACGAGGGAAGATGGCCATGGAGCAGTGCCTGGCCCGGCTGCGTACCCGGAGAGAATGCACTCGGTCAAGCCTAGACGAACCAGGACCAGTCAGCAGGGCCGTGGCAGCAAGAACCGGCGCTGCAGTGTCGCCAGCGCCATGCAACCGAGGGAGGGCGCGGAGAACTGGTGCAACTCACCGGTGCCCACCACAATGACGTCGTACTCCTTTGCAATCTCCTCCATATTGTAGGCTCGAGGGTTCGGTTCAGGATGATGGTATCGCGGTCGTGCAAAGGGGGCGTCAGTCGGGGGTCGGAGCTGGAGGGGTTGATGAAGGTCTGTCTGAATTGGCGGGGTTTAGGGGCGAGGAGAAGCGTCGGTGAGGTGGGGGAGACGGGCCGTCCACACCCTTACCCTGGCTCACCTCTGCTCACCTTGATTCGCCTTGTCCTCACCTTGACCTCCCTCTCCGCTCTCTGCCAGGCAAAACGGGGTCCCCTCCTTGGCATCGCCGCCCTTGGAATTTGCAATCAAGACATGGCGAGGAAGCAAATTGTCCCGAACACTGGTTGAAATTAGCCAACGGGGCCCGCACAGTCCTCTGCGCCCTTTCTCTTGCGGATACAGTGCAGCGTAGTGCCAAATGACCTCGTCAATCCCCCATTGACGCCGACGATCGGCTTCTCCCATGCGGTTGGGATAAAACAGGGAGGGCGAGGTCATTCAGCCGATTGCTTGGCTGGTACTGCGATTGTTCACTATCTGAATAGCAGCACCCCTTGTCGAGCCGTTTATGTCCATCCGTCCTGTCGTTCCAACATTCAGGTGGGCGCCTTTTCCTCGTCGTGGAGCTCATCGCACGATGCCGCCCCGACCGTAGTAGAGGAGCCTGGCTAGGTAGTCATGCTTGCCTAGCCGTGTCATCTACGCACGCAACTCGCGATACATATCGTACATGGTTCTCCTGCATGTATGTACTCCATACTCCGTACATGTGGTCCAACCCCATCTTTCAGGGCATACGTCGCAATCTCAGCTTGCGACGGCCCAAACGGTCAATATATCACCGTCCCAGGGTCGTCTGCTCGTCGGGCTCTCTCCCTTGGGAAGTTGCAGCGTTTCCGTCGGCTCTCCTCCCGGGCTTTGACCAGCTGTCCGGCTCCGGGATCTCATCCTCGTATTCGGATGGCTTGTACACCTTTCCGTTCGCTGCCTCAAGGTCAATCTCCGGGTCCGACTTGGCGACGTCGTTGGCATCCTGCCACAGGTAGAATCGTTCCGTCAACGTGTGCTTTATGCGTCGCATCGTCCTCTGGACCTGAATTGGTTTTGTCAGCCCGGCCCTAGCGGAACAGACGTTCTGGGACGACAGACCTCGCCGTCTCGGAGCTCGAATTCCCGCTCGCCGAAGCCAAGCTTCCCTCTCTCTAGCTCGGCCCGGGACGTCGCCAGCATATTCCTCTCCTTGCAGCACACCCACCATAGCGAGTGCAAGTCCTCCCATGACTTCTTGCGAAGCTCCTCGACTGTCCACGCCCGTCCGTGCGACTCGGCCTCCTGGGGTGTCGGCAGCAGCTTGCCCCGCGCGGGAAAGAATCCCCAGAGGCCATGATTCTCGTCCACGGCCACCTTGGGCTTGAAGTCGCGCGGCTTGGGCAGTGGCACGTCCGACATGGACAGGTGCTCTCGGGGTCCTGAGCCGTACAGGCTGCTGACACCGCGCTTCTTGTTGTTGTCCTTGGTTTTGCGTTTGCACTGCCAGGCTGTGGTCGAGAAGGCCGCTGTTCGCATCGAGGGCGGATGGAGCGATGGGAGCTGGAGGGGGCGGCTCAGCCTCGACAGGCAAGCCGCCGAGGGCCACAGCGCATTCTGCGACGCCATTGAGCCGACGATGGCTGTGCGGGAGGCTCGATGATTCGGAGGACCGGCTTGAAGCTGCTCGCGGCTTCAGCAATACAGGTCACAGTTTTTGGGATGCTCGTAGTGAGGGGCCGTCTGATTGGATACTCGACCCCGTGCCGTGGCTCCACTCTCAATGTCTTGTCTTGAGGTGACTAAGCCATCCAGCCCGTCTTCCCTACCCTATAGCGAGACTCAATCCGACTTTCATGTTCAGGAGAACGGCCAACGTGCAGCAGGTGTCAAGTCTCGACGTTGTTGCCGCTCAAGTTTCTCTTTCAGTGTTTTCTTCGTGCCTTCTCGGGCAATTGCTGCGTTTGTGGGATTGTTGCAGCTCATGACATCTAAACATACAGATCTTCAAGTTTGCTGCTCTGCTGACGCTTACTTTCCTAACCCAGAGCTTAACGTGGCAGAACATTTGCTAAACGCCGAGGATGTATGTCATTTACGTACAATTTGCTGCAAGTCTTGCAGATGGACTCGAACATCGAAACAGCGTGGCATGCCTCTTGACATCAGTATCGCTACGAAGCACTCTTGGCAACTGCTGAGGCAGAACAGGCGGACACAGACTTGGTCTGTCTGCCCGCGAAACTTCATACATCGACTCGTACACCAGCCACGCGTAGTTCCTGGCACACATACCGGAGAAATGTTGGGCGTGCCGGTCCGACGAGGCACAAGGACTACTCCAACCCCCAAGAAGCCTTCGACTCACTTGTCATGACTTGAGAGCCTAGGCATAGGGGGCGAAAAGACGAAATACCGAGAGACAGTGTGGTATACACACACATACATACAACTTACGAGGAAACTCATCACGAGAGCTTGGCACTGCAGCTTCAAAGTCCAGGTCAGACCACGAGACGCTTCACGACACTGCCGGAGCCTCAAGCACACACCACATGCGTGACGCGACATCCCACGGTACACGCGTATCTCTACCAATACATACAGTACATAGACTCAGAGCGAAATATACATCTCCGAGCATCAACACCATGAGCTATGTGCGTTTACGTACAGAGCATGTCGCTTGCATTGTGCGTCCATGTACAGTACGCGTCGCATCGACACGAACGTTGCCGGATGCAATGAATGGCATGTGAGCACAATGTGCATAGACGCATCGTCGTACATACTATACACTGAGCCTGGGGGGGCTTGGAACCGGCGCAAAATACCACTGTACGGTACGCCTTGCTTTGCACATGACGGCATGTGGCCTCCCTCGGAGCATGCTCGTATCAGAGAGCCGAGCCTTTGCATGCGTCGCGATGCTACCTGTCAGTTCTGCGAGCGCTGAATTCCCAATGCATGTGCGGGCTGTCAAAGGTCCACAATGGCTGATACTCGACGAGTTGGCCCTGCGCAGTGACTCAGTGGTCATATCGTACAGACATATTCCCACGTACAGACTACAGTATGTACGTATATTGTATAGACTGCATGGGGGCAGTCGAGGCGTGTTCGTGTCGGATCCCACCAAGCGCGTAGACAAGGAGAGCGTCGTCGTCGCACAACATGCTGCAGCAACTCTATCCTGCAGCACAATACAACCCGGATGGAAGAGCACGGGTTCTTCCGTGAGGCCTGCATCTCAACGCGAGCCTTACTGCATCATCTCGCATCCCCATCGCAGGGCAGTGCAGCATCGTACATATCATAGGCCAACCAGAGGCCTACCATGCGTGGCGGAGGAGGCTGAATCGTGATGAGCGCATGTGCGAGGGACGGTATGAGCGCAATCTTGTCTTCCCCTGGCCATGGTCGACGTGAGCTTGGAGGCTCGCCAGACGGACCAAGGACAAGTGCCGTGTGCACTTATCCGCAAACAGACAGACGGGCAAAGGGGAAAACTTGCGGTCAGCCGAGGCGGAAACTGAAACGAACATCGCAGCTCGCCTGGGTGCCCGAGCCTGCAGCAACTGCCCATGGTTGACGACGCCCTGGACACATGCTGGCTCACGCCGCTTCGCAGGAACAAGGCCCGTTCCGCCAACTCGTCCGCCATGTGTCGTGTATTCAATGTCTGTACTGCATGTGTTGACATTGATACGTTGACAGAGGCTGCAAAGCTCTTTGCCTGTATGTACTTGGCAACGCGAGTCCAAGGTCGTGGCGACAGTGGCAGAAAGACTTGGGCTCGCACGGCAGACACCGGACCGACGGATGAAGCGTGGCCGGGGGGCCTTCGCTTTCGTCAACCCGACATTGGCCAACGGAGTTGAATCGTGTGGGATTGTCCCTGTGTGCAGATGCATGTCATGTCGTCCTTGGCTGGTCCCCCTTCGCGGCCCCTGCCTTGTGCTCATTAGCCTCACCGCTTCCGAGATCCGAACAAGGTTGTGTGAATATCATGTCTGTCCGGGCGCTTCTTTCGTCCTCCTCTGCATGTATCTTTTCCTGTTTTTCTCTCTTGGACGTACAGTACAGCCAAGGAGGAAAGAAAGAACGCTTAAGTAGAAGGGGAACACGACAAGAGCTGGCAAGGGTGACGCCCTGAGCAGCCCGTGAGTGCCTTTCGGAACCCACCTGGATACTCAACATGGCTGAGCCGAGATGCGACTGGCTGGACACGCAAGGAATATGTCCGTTAGGTATGCGTATATATTAGATACACAGCACAGAGTGCTCAACTTTACCCTGTGCTGTACAGTAGTTGTCGAATATTCCCGCCTTGCCCTTGAGCTATAGCACACGACACAGTATATGTAGACTATTGCCAAGGGTCGTGTGACGCGAAGCCAAAAAAATCAAGAGAAAAACAAACCAAAACTCGGTACGCCGCGGCCGTGACTCGATGCGGAACCCGAGAGCCGGGCAGGCTCGGTGGGCATAGCCTCAACGGTCTATGGCGGCAGGGCGTCGTCGGGTCAAGGGATCGAGGGCGGCAAATGAACGGGTTGCATATCCGAGATGAAGGTGGCCTCTCTCGGACTTTGTGGCCGAGGGTGCCAGTCATGGGCAAACCGACACGAAACGGCAGGCCGCAGTTGGCCAAGCTTTGGCTGCGCGTGGGCGGGATGTGATTCCCTCTCTCTCAGAGCGTGTGTTGGATCATTGGCGTGTTGGCCGGATGGATGGATGGATGTATGCGTCCTCCGGCTATCTAACAAGTAGATGCTCTTGGCTCTTGTATAGGTAGCCATAATACACGACGGAAGGCTCCTTTCGAATAACATCAGCACAGTACAAGCATCATGATGGCTCGAGACCTGAGAGCTAGCAGACGGGAACAAACACCTGCCCCTTTTGCACCCTCGACGCTGCGCGCACCCCGTCGAGAGCCATGCCATCGTTGCTGTACGAAGTGAGCGCATGTATGTATGTTATATGCACGTCGCCACGCTGCGGAGAGGCGTCGTGCATCCGCGGGGCCCCCTTGACGACGAACCAACTTGTCAGACATCTTGGAACCCAATGATTTACCCGCGCCAACACCCTCTCGGACACGACGACACTTTGGAGAAGCGCAGTCGATGACGACGAGGGTGGACGACGAGGGTGGACGACGAGGGTGGACGACGAGGATGGACGACGAGACGAGGGCAAGGATCTCTCTCTCTCTCGGCACGAGGACACGCATCATATTGCTACTTACAGTAGGTACAGTACCCTGTTAGCTGTACATGGTAATCGCGCGAGGGCGCGCTATAGACACCAGTACAGGCGTACACGGCACAGTGCATCACAGTGCACACCACTAGCCAGGGTTCCAATCTAGACGCTTCCCCTTCCAACGCACTACCTGTATGGGGCAGCCCTCACCGAGCAACTTGCTGCACTCGCAGTCTCCGGGTGCCTCGAGGGAGAATGGTGGCCACAGGTACCGGGGACCGCCGCAAGTACTCAATACTAGCAAGGCTGCGTGCGGCTCCGTCTAGAGCAACAGCCTCAGACTCGGGGCGCCTCAGAATGGCAAAAGCTCAGATACCATGCTTGTGTGGCCCCGGCGGTGGCGGGCAAACAGATCCCAGGCAGCGTTGGCGTCACCATTTCTCTGTCTGTTGGGCACTCACGCTGTTGTTCTGCGCACCGCAACAGACGTACGGAACTTTCCAGCGCGCATGGGCGGGCATGTGCAAGGTATAGAGTACAGAGCGTCTACCTCGCTCGTCTTGAGAGGGGGGGTGTGTGTGCGTGTGCGTGTGCGTGTGTGTGCGACCCGCACAGCAAGATGAGACCACTCCCACGTGGGAATTTGATCTGATGCTAGCTGCTACATAGCACGGAGTATCCACCTTTGGCAAGGTGCCTCAACTGCGGCACAGTACATGTCTGTCTTTGCGGTGTGCGAAGTACCGACCTCTTCGTTTTGTCCGAGCATGAATGAGCTCATACGTGGAAATACTGGCCGCGTCTTCGTCAATGTCGCATGTTGCAATGCTCTTTCCTCGTGGTCCAAGGAGTAAAAACAAAAACAGGGTCCACCAAATGACGTGGGGGGTTTCGGGGCCGACACCACTCCTTCCAGCGGGTCCCGCGCGTGGCCCATTGCTCCCACTGGCACCTTGCCTGCATCCCCTTTTATCTCGTCTTTTAAAAAAAATAAAAAAATCTCGCCCACTAAAAAGGGGGGGGGGAAACCGGGGATGGGCCATAGTCTGATCTACGAGGGCTTCGAGACGAACGCCAGCCAGGCCGGCCGCCATGTCAAAAAACAATCGAATGGATACATGCAAGCGGAGTCGACCGCCACGGCGGTAGCCAGAAGCGCACCCCAACACAACAGCGAGGGCGTCCTGTCGGCGGCTTACCATCCGCCCCCCCTCCCCGCCCCCCCCCCCTGGGCCGACAGAAGTGACTGTACTGTTGAGCAACTACCTTGCTCGTTTGCGCAAGACTCTGGCAATCCTCGCCCGTCATGCCAAATACCTAGCTAGCTC